TTTTTACATAAAAAAACTCTCGTTCTTTGATAAGTTACCTTCAATAAGGTTATTTTTAGTTCAAAACTCTCATTTTCATTCAAAGTTTCAAATTTTGGACATCAAAATCTCAAAACTCTCATCTTCACTCCAAATTTTTAACTTTTTACGTCCAAACACTCTCGTTCAAAAGGTACGTTATATATGGCCATTTTTAATTCAAAACTTTAATTTTCACTCAATTTTTAACCTCTTACATTAAACACTCTCTTTACTTTTTCTTTTTAGAAGCATTATTATTATTATTTTTTCTTTTGTTTTTATTTTACTCTTTGTAAGTTTACTTTGGATTGTAATTTTTTTCTCCAGTTTTATTTTTATGTTTTTGGTTCATTCTTAATTTATTAGTTTGAGTCAGGGTTTCAATTATTAGTGAAATTTTGTGAGTAAGAGTGTTTCCCTTCTCCTATCACATATGTGTATATATATACAATTGCTATTACAATGAAATGACCATATTTCCCTTTAGTAAAATACCTAATATTATAACATTTATCACCAATTTCTCCTTTCTCTTCTTGTTTTTTATTTTTTATATTTTGATTCAGTATTCTTTATTAAATGTGTGAACTTCTCGTAGGGCTTTCCAGCACTTATGCCATATTAACTATATGTACGGTTCCTAGGAACTAAGTAAAACTTAAAATCATAAGCTCTTTCTAGCAAATGTATAAAAGGGGAATAAACATATTGTAATAGTATAAACATTCATGAATCAGTAGTTGTGATAGAGTAACTTTAATACCATCAATAGTTTTTCCTAATTTAAAATTATTATTTTTTTGTTATTAATTATAGTGTTGTTATTAATATGTTAGATGGATATGAATGTTGAGAATGTGGAACAATGCGGTGATTCTCTCACAATTGAAGAAGTGGTTGAAGTTACGAACGATGGAAAATTGTTATGGGATGAGTCACTCATTGAAAAATTCGTGAATATTATGGTGGAAGAAGTTAAAGCTAATAATCGTAGTGGCACAACATTTAGTAAAAATGGTTGGAGTAATTTAGTCAAACAAATGAATGTTCAAACGGGGAGAAAATTTGGTTTAACCCAACTTCGGAATAAGTTTAATGGTTTGAGGAAAATTTATACTGAGTTTAAGAAATTATTATCGGAGACTGGCGTGGGATATAACAATGAGACGGGCATGGTTATAGTTGAGGAAGAGAGATGGGACAGGTTGTGCAAGGTTAGTAATTTAATTATTAGTCTTAAATAAATAATAAAATCTTGTATATTATTGGTTATGTGGTTAATATTATAACAAAATTTGTAGGTTGTTACGAATGCAAATAAGTATAAAAAGTATGGATGTAAGCATTTTGACAAGATGTCGACTATATTTGGGGACACATATGCAAAAGGGATACATGCCCACCCATCCACTACAGCACCACCCACAATCATTTTGCCCACTCCCAATGATGACGATGATGAGGAAGAGGGTTGTGAGGTCAGTCCCCCACCTTTACGTAAAGGTAAGAAAGCCAAAAGAGATGCTTTATCTCCTGGTATAGCTGCACTCTTGTCAAACATGAATGAGAATTCTGAGAGGAGAGCTGAGAGAATGGAAGCTGCAATAGAGAAAGCAGCTAAAGCATCTTCTACTTCTACTCGTGTATCTTCATGTGAGAAAGGAGATGATGAAGCTCTCTCTCCCTCAAAAAATGATAGAGATTATGAAATGTTTGATGCCCCCATGCTCCTTTTACAAAAAATACCTGGAATTGAGATGGCCCAATTCGCTAAGGTATCGAAGTTATTACATGATTCTGAGAAGTGGCAGAAATTTTTTCTTTCGGCACCTGAGGATGTAAGAATTGGTTGGGCATTGAATGTTTGAGTTTTTCTTTATGGATGATTGTGTTTTGTGTCATCGTTTAACTTATTACTATCTCACATTTGGATGACTGTAATAACTTAAATACTTTTATTATCTCACATTTGGATGACTGTAATAACTTAAATATTTTTATTATCTCACATCTGGATGACTGTAATAACTTAAATACTTTTATTATCTCACATTTGGATTACTGTAATAACTTAAATATTTTTATTATCTCACATCTGGATTGTTGTAATAACTTAAATACTTTTTATTATCTCACATTTGGATGGCTATAATAACTTAAATAATTTTATTTCTTGGATGCCTGTTAGTACTCAAATACTTTAATACCATTATTTAAATGTTTGTTTTATTATTTAAATGTTTTGTTTATTATTTAATTGATTTGCTTATTAACTTAAATGTTTTGCTTGTATTAAATCTTTAAATAGGGTAATGGATATGTGGAACAATATAAGAAGAATAATTCAATTATATGACGATGAGGAGGACAATGAGAGTGTCTTAATATTTGCTGCTCTTTTAGAAGAGCAGAACTTCTATCAAAAGAGGCGTTGTAGGGATTCCATTTTACAAGGGGAAACATATGTTATGGAGATTCTAAACGGCCATAGAGAAAGATGTTATGAAAATTTTAGGATGTATCCTGAAGTTTTCAGAACATTGTGTAGTACCCTGAAAGGTATAGGGCTGAAGGATTCTAAATTTTTAACTGTTTATGAACAAGTGGCAATCTTTTTGCTCACTTTATCTCATAATCAAAGGAATCGTGTTGTAGCAGAGAGATTTCAACACTCCACTGAAACCATTTCTAGACACTTCCATGCTGTGTTGCATGCAGTATGTCAGTTGGGCACCCATATCATTGCCCCTCCTAATTTTTCTGTGATTCCGAATAAGATTAGAGAGTCTTCTAGGTTTTACCCTTACTTCAGGCATTGTGTGGGAGCTATAGATGGAACCCACATTCCTGCAACTCTGCCAGCAAGTACACAACTTCCATTTCGTGGTAGAAAGGGTTATACTACACAAAATGTAATGGCTGTATGTGACTTTGACATGAGGTTCACATATGTGCTAGCTGGGTGGGAAGGCTCAGCTAATGATTCGAGAATCCTAAATGAGTGTACTGAAAATGAGGCAATGAACTTTCCAGCTCCACCAGCAGGTAATATTATTTTACAAATTCACTTAATATATGGTTAGTTTATCATACTGTATATATCTTTATGTATTCTAAACATGGCAGGTAAGTATTATTTGGTGGACTCAGGGTATGCCAATAAGCCTGGTTATTTGGCCCCATTTCGAGGTCATACTTACCACTTTCAGGAATACCGTAGGACTAGACAACCTCGTGGTCGGGAGGAAGTGTTCAATCATAGGCATTCATCTTTGAGAAATATAATTGAGCGATGCTTTGGGTTATTGAAGATGAGATTCGCTATTTTGAGGGCAATGCCTCCTTATAAGTTTTCAACACAAGTATTGATTGTAATGGCTTGTTGCACATTACATAATTTCATCAAAAATCAGCATCAGCCTGATGACATATTTGATGGTAATGATCCTCCTCAAAGTGATGGTGAAGATGATGAGATTGTTGAGCATGTGCCTTCGGCTCAGCTTCGAGAAATGGATCAGTTGCGTAATACTATTGCTGATCAAATTTGGAATTCTCTTCAGCACTCTTGATCCTTCTGAAAGTGATGGTATATTTTTTCTTTTATATGTAATATATTTGTTGCTATTGTGAGCTTGCAATATATATATGTAATATAAATCTTTTTTACAGATATATAATTCAACTTAAATGCTATTATTGCAGATATGAAGTGTGTTGATGCTCTCTTGAAGGCCACATGTGCTGTTATGAAGATGATGTGTCGTTGCCATTGCATCCACTTTATGAACTTCTTATCAATTTTTAGTGACAACTATGTATTATTAATGCTTTGTTCCAAACATTTTATGTACAACTTAAACTTGTTTAATTTGTTGGTTGAATATTTAAGGACTTGTAAATGTTATACATTCTATTTCAATTATGCTTTCAATTGAGTTTGTTTTTATTTTAATGTTGTGTTGGACTATACAGGTATTAGGATAATAAAATTGAATTAGATTATTGCAAAGAACTTGTAAATAGGTTATTGCAAATTTTTTTTACAAATATTGACTCTCATGTAGTATTGTAAAATGTGACTAGAGATTATTTATTTTAAATGTTGAGTTGGACTATACAGGTATAATCATAATAAAATTGAAGCAGGTTATTGTAAAGAACTTGTAAATAGGTTATTGCAAATTTTTTTACAAACGTTGATTCTCATGTAGTATAGTAAAATGTGACTAGAGATTATTTATTTTTAATATTGAGTTGGACTATACATGTATAATGATAATAAAATTGAAGTAGGTTATTACAAATAACTTGTAAATAGGTTATTACAAAAATTAATATATATATAATTTGGTGGGGGTTTACATTTTTTTACAAAAGAGAAGGCAAGAATCTGTATTTTGGAGTTAAATTTCTACCAATGCAGACTTATAAGAGTCGAAAATTATTATCAGCGCTGTGTAGTATTTTTTTTTTCTTCTTTCGCTAATGCGAAAAATGAGCAAAATGAATGAAACACAAACCTATGGACAATCATCACCAAAGGAACAAACTATACCAGGAAATTTCAAATAACTTAAAGTGTAGTTTCAGATCAAGATAACATGCTCTGTGTGTGTGTGTGTGTGTATTTGTGTGTTCAAATTTTAATATATTTATTAAAAATATATAGACTATTTATATAGAAATAAATTTATAAATAAATTTAAAATTTATAAAAATAAATTAAAAACAATGATAACCAAACATGTTTTTTGTTTCTGTTTTATTTTGTTTACAACAGTTAGAGCTACCAAACATGTTTTGTTTTTAAAATTCTTGAAACGCATGACTTACCAAACAGGTTTTGCATGTTTTTGTTTCCGACATTTTTACAGTAAAAGATCGTTCCCAAACATGCTTCCGATTTTTGCCAAAACACTCTAATAGTAAAAACGCTATTTCTGTTTTAGTCAAAAACAAAACGCCTAAAGTAAAACGCATGCCAAACGGGCCCTTAGCTCCCCTTCCTCAGGATTTCCTGAGCCAATAAGAATAAATCGAGCTGGATGTGAAATTGAAATTCCCTCTCTTTCTACGGTGTTCCATCCTGACGCAGCAGAATCCAAAAGAACATCTACCAAATGATCATCCAAAAGATTGACTTCATCCACATATAAAATTCCCCTATTGGCTTTGGCAAGAAGGCCAGGCTCAAATGCCTTGACACCCTCTGTAAGGGCCTTTTCTATGTCAATTGTCCCACAGACTCTATCTTCTGTAGCACCCAATGGCAAGTCAACCATCTTGATTTTGGTCATCATAACCTGCAGTTCCTCACCGTTCATAATTTTCTCTCTGACTTCCACGCCCATGGATTCTGGATCTTCAGGATCAGAGTTAAATGGATCACTGGCAACTACCTTAATTTCCGGCAGTAAATCTACCAATGACCTAACAGTTGTGGACTTCCCTGCACCCCTATAATCATGACACCCCCAATCTTGGGATCAATCACATTTAGCAGAAGGCACAGTTTCATCTCATCTTGTCCTACAATAGCGGAAAATGGATACACTGGCCTCTGGTTTTCCTTAGAAGCAAGCTTCCGGGCATGAAATTTACAAGGGTTTCGCGAACTTTATTTGCATACATTCAGAATCCATTGCTCCAAATCTTGTTATGATATTGTATTCCAATCCAAGTAATGCTTTCGATGATAAATATAAATTTTTCATCTAATTCCGAATTTTTAAAAATAAAACCATTTATTCATTAACAAACATTAGAAACATTCAATCAAACAGATCTTTCAACAAACATCTAAAGTGCACTTCAATAATTTCAAATTTCACAAAAACTAATGCACAAATTTTGTGGGTACCATGAAACCCCCATCAACCAAGTTAGCCACAATATGCTACTAGCTTAAAAATAAAAGCATCAGATATAGATATTACATCAAAACATTGTACTTTATACCACAAGGCACACAAATAAGGAAACTCCATACCTGTTCTTGAGCAGGACTGATCTTAGTGGCAACATTGGTAATTGAAACACGGAACTGAGACCTCCCATTCTTGAGTGGAATTCCAATTCCTCCATAGAACTTCTTCTGCCCTGTAATTTCAAATTCAACCAAAACCCATCTCTTATCTTCATCAATAACCTCAAAAGCATAAAGAAAACATAAAATTTAGACAAAGAAACACAGGAAATGATCTGGGTCCTCTCATTTCGTATCCCAATTCAATAATGCGAGCTTAACAATATGTATATATTTAGACAGAGAGATATATATACCTGGAGTTAGAGAGAGAGAGTGAATGGGGGATTTGGAGGTGGGAGAAGAAAGGGATCGAGGGGCCAAGATTGCTGCAGAAGAAGTTCCGAGTACTCCGGCCATAGCCAAAGTTGTGTTCTTGAAGTGCAAAGTGTGTGTTTTTACACTTTTTGAGCTTCAAAACTACAGTCTACTTGTTTCTTTCTACTGGTTTGCTTGTTTGGTTTCGGATAAGAGGATAGATTTCCATTGAAGTCCCCTTTGTCACTGCTTTATCAAACTTCGGCATAATGGCATATGATCTGCAGGACTCCAGTCTATGGTAGGAAGCTGCGGGACTTCCGCATAGGAGGATTTGATTGGATAGATGGAAATGGACCTACCGAACGATAGTGGGATCAACGGTAGAGGAGAAGGACTGCTTGACATTCACCGAACACGGAATAGTTTCTCTACGAAATTAGGGTCCCAATCTCATTACTTCATAGTACCTCCATCCTAATATAGTATGAAATAATGAGATTGGGACCTTAGTTTCGTACAGAAATGGAGTATAAATTAATAAAATGGTGCCCTTAACATGAAATTAAAATTAATACAAATAACTCATTCTCAAATATTATTTTCAGAAAAAAAAAAAATTAATTATAAGCTTATAGAAAAATGAAAATGACTTGGAACAATTTTTAAATTTTATTTTTTAAAAAAGAAAAGAAAATATAAAATAAAAATTATTTTATAGATAACCTATAAATTTTTTAAAATTTATATTTAGGGATATTTTATTTATTATAACATCACTTTAATGGTGTGTAATTTAAATTTTTTTTTTTTAAGTTTTATTTTTTAAACTAAGGTGTTTAATGAAAGCTTATCATTTTATGTAGACTATGGAAATGAGGCATGCACTGAAATAAAGAGAGAAAAAGTCCATCAGCTGAACACATCAGTTTGAGAAATACCTTATGATATAATTAATTTGTTTAAGAAAATTAAAATGAATATGATTACATTAAAATGAATATGATTACTCCAATCAATTTGCTTCAGAAAATTAAAATGAATATAATTATTGTAATTAATTTGTTTCGGAAAATTAAGACAGAATATTAATATTGAATAATTTGAAAACTGTACAACACAGGGCAGAAGTAAGAGAATTTAAAGCCTCCCTCGTTTATGGATTTCACTGTACCTTTTTTGGAGGGTATATTTCAACTTCCAACTTACAGAATTCAAATAAATCAGCATTAAAAAAAAAAAAAAAAAAAAAAAAATCCGGGTATCCTCTGCCTCTCCATGGAAATGAAAATTGAAAACAAAAACATCCCTCCATTAACAAACAACTTCAATATTTCAATCTCCCCTCTAAAAGAAAAACCCATTGCCCCATCACTACAAATACCTCTTCTTTCACCTCTTCCAATTCATCTCTCTCTCTCTCTGTCTCTCTCTATATATATATACACACACACATACACATCAATGGCCATTCTCTTTGTTTCTGAAAACAATAACAAGGAGAACATGTCACCACTCTCCATTACAGTTCCACCCATCAAGAAAAGAAGGGCTAGAAAGCCTCTCGAGGACATTACCAACCTCTTTGGCCCACCTTCTCGTTCGGGTCCAATTCCGATCAACACAGCTCCTATTGTTTCTTGCTCCTGTTCGGTCTGCAAAGCGAAGCAGCAGCGAAAGAGGAGAGCGGAGGATGAACCTCAATTTCCAATGTTGATCAAGAATGCACGTTTTGTGTCTTTATTGAAGGATTTTAGATGATTCAGTCAACATTTTAGTAGTTCTCATGCATTGCAGCCCTAATCAAAGGTTTATTGTATCTTCATATTCTTCTTCATTGTTACCTTCCTTTCTGGGAATATATAGTGTTCAGAGGATGCTCAACAATTCAATTGAATTGAATCTCTGCTTTGATAATAAAAAATAAAATAAAATAAAAAAATTCTCGATTTGTGAATTGACACTGTTACATCCGAATTCACAACATGGGTTTTCAAAATTTTAAGAGTAATTTTGAATGTTCAAAAGAAAATTTAGTGGGCCTAGCAATTTGTAGCGTTTATTGTTCAAATACAAATTCAATGTCACAATTGGGGCTATATGAAATCTACCCAAGTTAGACCATCTGATTACTTCCTGTTTATGGCATAACTATCTCAAACTGAGAATTTTTTGAATCCTAGGCTTAAGGCCTTCCTTGATGTGAGCTAACTTTAAATGTTGGGATTTCAGCAAATTGAAAAAATAATAATAATAATAATAATATAAATAGAAATCTAAGCTAGGAAGCTAAATTACGCAGTGGGGTTCATTAGAGCATCTCCAATGGGGCTACCATATGGGCTGCCAATGGGGTTCATTAGAGCATCTCCAATGGGGCTACCATATGGGCTGCCAATTCAAAATGTAATAGGTGAGCTTAAAAATGGGCTGTTACTTTTTAACTTTGCTATTTTTTATGCCAATTGTAGCAAAAGAAATAACAATTGCTATATGGGTTGGGTCTACAGAAAAGAAAGGACCGGCTCCTATTTCATCTGATCTGAACTAGAGGAAGAATATCGATGATAAAAAGAGGGTTACTGATGGACTTCAATCTCGATCTTAACAGTTCCTGGCCGTTAGATCAGATCTTCATCTCCTCAAATCTTACGTCGCCGTTCTTTATCACATACTTAGTAACCTTCTCTTACGAATCTGCCTGACTTTGGTTTTTCTTGGTTGGGAACGGATTCTTCTCTCTCTCTCTCTCCTTGTCTATTGCAATATGGGTTTTGAACTTCTATTCTTGTTGATTTTATAATTTGCAGTGGTCTAGCGGTATCAAACCCCTACTTCTCAAAGAGAGGTCAGGGGTTTGAGCCTCAGTGGAGGCGTGTGTCTGTGAGTACCCAACTAAAAAAAAAAAAAGGGGGGGGGGGGGGGGGGCAATTTCAGAGTTGAGAACGAGAATATAGATAGAGGCTATTGGGGAGGCTGAAATGATTTGCCCTACAAATATATATAAATTTCCGAAAAAGAAAAATATATATATAAAAAAATTATAATTTTTTTTTTTTTGGTCCTTTTTTTACCAGATATTTTAAATTTTTGCTTCTTTTTAATTAGGTTTAATTTTAGTTTCCTTCTAATGTCTATAATTTAACTTGGAATGTGCATAATATTAATATTATTTATGCAAATATGAATTGTGGGAATGGTAGTTAAAAAAGAATGGTGGTTGCGTCAAAAAATAGCATTTTGTACGAAATGCACCATTGGAGCAGAATTGGTAAAATGTAGCATTTTGACACTGCAGCACCTGTCAAAATATAAATTTGGCGTGCGAAAATGGCTTTTAACATTGGAGATGGTCTTAATTGGTTGACTCAAGCTTATTGAGCAGCCTGAAATGAACAGGGTTTGGCTTCGATTTCAACCTCAATCACAAAGCTTGAAAATATTCCGGTTTGATTCGAGTTTGATTCATAAGTAGAGGTAGGCACCTAGGAACTGTAATTAAAGTTCTAAATATTTGATTAGAAGGTATAGATTGCCATTCAAGCTTGAGTGAGAATGAGTTGGACCCTACTCTATTGCATTCCCAATGGACTTACCATTTGTTGTGGTTACCGGCATAATGTCCTATCTGTATGAAGTTAGTGTCCACATATTAGAACCTGTTTTTAACACTCTAGGCAGTCCGGCTTTTTACCATTTCATTGAGCAATTCCCTTTTTCCTCTTTTAACTAAACAAGAAACCTTTCAATTAGTAATGAAAAATTAAATATGACAGAAACGATGGCCGCCTATTCTTATCCGAGCAAGGATAAAAGGCAGTAAAAGCAACTCAAGTCACTCAAGCTTTAGTTTATAAACTAGATCGTGCTCTTTATAAAAAGTCAAGACACAGTTTTGTTTTGTGTGTTTGCAACATTAATATATTTTATGTGTTTATTGTGTCATTTTAATGAAAATATCTACCAAACACAGCCAACCAATCACTTTGTATACAAAGGAAGAATCCAAGTGTGAGCGAAGATATTAAAAAAGAAGGCTACTATAAGAACAAAGTATAGAAATTACGGAAGAGTACAAATTTCTCAACAGGGTTCATATTTCATACCATTGTCTCTATGATCTATCTTCCCCCAATTTTTTTGACAATTTTGGTACAGTGGATGGAACTAAAACAAAGGCATTATGGTGATGAAATTCACACCATTCGTGAATATAAAAGTAAAAGAAAAAAGAAAAGAAAAGAAAAGAAAAAGTTATTTTCCTATAAGTTAGTAAAAAGAAATCGAGGGGAGTCCTCACTCTCCTCCATGCCTTGCATTTATGTATTAAAGAGTTGCATGAGACTGGAGGGAAATGTCTTTCCTTTCTCCTCTTTCCCGTTTCCTTTTCTTTTCATTCCTAATTTTTTACTTAACTCATCTGTTTATTCTGCTCACTCTTCATCCCTTAACAAAGTACACCATTTTTAAAATTTGAATGGACTGTCCCAACCTATAGCTTTCCTAGCTTCAAAAGTCACAGTAGAAGTCACTATTTTCCAGTACTTTTCATGTTTTGGTGATTTAATTTCTCTTTCACTATTTTCCTCCATTTGTTTTCTAAATGGTTTTGGTAAATTTATAAAATTTTCATAAATCAATTTCCTAGACCAAACATACAAAAGAGCAAGTACGAGACTCTTGTCATTATAGGTCAGTTGTACGCAGGTCTTATTTTGTCATGGAGAGACTGTTTCTGATTTTGAACTGGTGACCTCCAAACATGGACTACTTTTATATAATTAGTGATTGATTTATGCGAAAACATATAATGGATCCCTAATCACTTGAATGTGATTTGGTAGGATTTATGAAGAAATGAGCATCTAAAAGATAGACATGATCAGAGACATCTACTGATTAAAGCTTGAACAAGTCTATTGGAGCACATAAGTGATTAAAACTTGTTTGTTGACTTTTAAGGTCTTACATGCATACCACAGTGAGCATATAAACTTGATGTCTCTACATGTGAATATATTTTTTGAGTCAAAAATTTTGAAAAACAATTGGGGGAGACAGAGAAATGAGTTTTCAATTACAAAAGTCGAAAGATGATCTGAGACAACTTGATCGAGTTATCCCCTTTTCATTTTGAATCTGGAACCTGCAAAATAGAATCTTCAAAGCTCTCTCTGGTATTAATTAAAATCATAAATAACGTATATAAAAAACAAAAAAATCCCTTGACAGTTATAAAGTTGTTGATATATATATATAGTTATATAGAACTGCTGGCTCGGCTCCTCTCATGAGAGAGCCCTCTTAAGAGTATTACTTCATTTGTGTTTTGCTTCCGTTGTATGCATTTTGTTTCTAATTAGGAGCATTACTCTTTATATTTTCAACAATTCCCTCAAACCATTTTCAAAATAAAACTCTAGAGAAAACTTATCAAAAATAAATAAAAACTCTTGAAACCCAGAAGCAGAATACAGAAACCCAATTTTATGCTAATAAAATGCCAACTAAGGAACACAGACGCCCCAAATCACCTCACCAGAAAGATCAAAGTTGCATTCCATGCACTGCATCCCACAATCTGCACCCATTATGACACCTTTATTTCCAACACCATCTTCAGCAATGAATTACATCAAGGTTGCATTTGGCGCCTTGAATTTGAAATTGAAACAAATTTTGTTCAAAGTTTTAACAAAATTTCCTCCAATTCCAAATCCAAGCCCCCAATTTGGTACTCCCAAACATAAGCATAAGAGCCAAGGATGTGCAGAATTTACCTAGAAAAGGTGATAGTAACTGCAATATGTAGTTAAAAAATGTGAAACCTCAACCTTGGTAACCCAAACATCTCCAAAGACCCACCATGAAAAATAAAATAACACACAAAAATAAAACCACGAGTAAGAAGTTTACTTGCACAATATTCATATTATATTATATCCCATAGCACGAGCAATTCATGTCTCAAATTCTCAACATAAATAAACAACCAAAGCAAGTTCGATTTTCTCTGATTACCAGCGGTACTAGAGCCTGAATTTACTCCAACAGTCACCTCGACAGCCTTGGTACAATCAGACTTTCCTTTTGCAGTAATCATTTCAATATTTTTGTTCCTAAACAAGAATTTTATCCCTTGCATCATGCGACCAAGATGATTCGGAAAACAACATAAACTCACTTTATCGATCTCATAAACCACAAGGATCCGCACCTTGCCTGATTCAGATGTTTTGGCCCCAAGATAACAGGAGAGGTCAATTCCCCGAGTCACTCTTCCACAACATTGACCAGTTCGTATTCAACCAGAGACAAATTGTTATCTTCCTTAACTGTGAAACTAGCTGGTTCAGTCACTTCAACACGACCCCACTTGTCCACTGCAAGTCTCATTGATCCCTTGAACATGTCAATCTTTGCATTACGGAGTATTATGGTGGTATCAGGCTTCATCAAGTCCACTGTTGAGGTGTCAACAAAATACAAAATTAGACTCGGCTCAACTCAACAGAACATTGCACCAAAGTTAAAAAGCAAAACTGCCTCATATGCAATTTGGCACTGTCGTAGGAACTTTTGTAACATCTCTGTGGGTCAGTCACAAATATACGTGGCAACAAAACCAAACAAAAAACACACACACATTTCTACAATCTAACAACCATCTTGTCAACTAACAGAATACAACCCCACTACACTGAAGAAGAAAAACATATAACCAACCGTAAAAGGAAAAATTCTCAATGCTAAAATATAACAGAGCTACACAGGAAGGAGTATGAGATGGATATGCAGCATTACAAGAAAAGATTGGATAAGAAATAATTTTAGTCTAGAAGAGAAAGGGAAACAACTGACTAAAAACAACATGACATTACATTGATGAAGACGGATTAGTTATGCATAGTGAAGACCAATGACTGCACCCTTAAAATAGTCATTGGATAAGTGCAGACATCGAAGGGGCAAAAACAAGAGGACAATGAGGAACACAAGGGCAATCCATGAAAAAGGCATATTGCCATAAAACCTGCCCTAAGCCGTTGAAATTTGAAGTTATGTATAATTAAACTAAGCTGAGATACATCCATCTCTACTGATATATGTGCCTAGATTAAGCGGAACTAGACCAACATTCAAGCAGTACTTTAACCAACATGGACATTTTCTTGGCCAAATTCTTGAGTTAGGAATAAATCAGGCCCAACTTTGAGAGTGACTAGGAAACATTTTCCTATAAGAACTAGGAATCTCCATTTTATTGTTATCAAAATCAAAGCAGATGGTCTATCTCTCTCTCTCTATCTCACACACACACACACAAACAAACAAACATATTAAGCATGTTTCACTTGATGCATCATGCGATACATAATCTTCCACACAACTAGATCCTAACCTCCACTCAAAACAAATTATAATTTTACACTTCTTGTGTCGTCTTCCACTAAACAGAAAAGATAAGTTGGATCTCCCTGTAAATCGTGGAAAATACTACCAAAGTCATTAACAAATTAAAGTAACAGATTTACAAGAAAAAGAGGAAATAAAGGAAAAAAAAAAAGAAAAAAGAGAGAAGGGATAAAGTGGCATCACATAATGATCTCAATGCACCAATCTTTGTCCACGATACTAGAAAAAGATTTGGCAGATTGAAAAAAATAATACAAAAAGAATAAACAAATAACATTAATAATGCATTAGAGTTGGTGTATTAACAAATAATATCATAACAACAACTTAATGCACTACCTTGGTCATTCCTTGCGGTAAATACAATTGTTCCAGTTTCATCTCCAATTACGCATTCGGCAATACGCATTTGACGTACTTGGGGGCCAGCAGGGCGACCTTTCTGCAATACCATCTTTGAACTTACAACCTTTACTGTCAAATTATGTCCACTAGTGCCTGGCCGCAGCTGCTCAACCTTAGTGAAAACAGGCTTCCTCATAGCCGATTTTGCTTCAGCCATTTATTGCAACTCTGGAATATCAAAATGTAACAGAGAACTTAGTCACTATTCAACAACAGAAAAAGGAGTTGTAATCACATCAGCCACTGCCCCAAAAGGTGCAATGATGACTGTGTTTGTGTGTGTGCGTGAAAGAGAGAAGAAAATAAATTGTACAAGGTAAATGCCATGGTAATTGCAAATCCATCCGTTGGAACAAAGTGTTTTAAGTAAAGCGTCACAAAACAAATAAAAATGGGGCCAGCTTAAAACTGCTTATGAGGGTAACCATCAAAAACAGAATATATGCAACGATGTTTTTCAATTGTAAAGCACCATCTGCAAATAAATTATATAAGGTAAATGCCATTATAATTGCAAATCCTTCATTTAGAACCAAGTGCTTTAAGTAAAGTGTCACAAAACAAATAAAAAAGGGGGCAAACTTAAAACTGCTTATGAGGGTAACCATCAAAAACAGGAGAATTTATTGGGTACCCCGGGGGTAATGGTTATAGAATACCTCCACCCAATCAAAACACCCCACTTCCTATAATCAAGGTAAATGGATATTATGATTGGCCATGGGTATTCAATAACAGTTAGCTCCGAGGTATAATGTATTTTTCCCCAAACCAGAATATATGTGGTGATGTTTTTCAATTGTAAAGCACCAACTGCAATAATTTCTACCATTTAAGGCAAGACAACCACTCATTATGACAAATCAAAATAACACATTTTGGTGTCATTCAAATATGTCAAGAAAAGATGGACAGATAAATATAAAACCATTCTTCAAATGCAAATAGTTGCCAATACTGTTTTCATTTCCTCATTTAGTTGGCATTTAATTTACATCTTCCAGCAGAATGACTAAGTACTACTTAATAACAAAGTAAAATGATCGGGCTTTTAAGTCTTAAGAGATGGTGTTAAGAGTTTGAGAACCAAAGCTCAAGTCTTTATCCAGTTTTTGAGTTTAACAAAAGCTCAAATCGTTATACACATAACCGAAACATGATAAAGAAAATTGCACACGTCTTCTAAAGAGAATGAAAATTTGTAGTGTTAACAACGTAAATCAATAACAAAGTACGTAATTTCAACGATAATACCATTTAATCTAAACAAGTCACCACAAGATTTCAATGCGGACAATAAATAAAACGATCAAACAGGCACAATCACGAAAATATCGAAAATTCAAAAGCAGATATCATACTAAAACAGAATACGATTAAATCAAAATTAATTCAATGCACATTAAGAATCCAAATCATCAAACCAATAATATGTAACGAACGCCCAATATCGACAGAAAAAAACTTAAAATCAAATTAAAAAAAGCATCAAAATCGAAGCCCTAATCTTAACATCGAAGATAGAAAATTACGATTAGTCTTGCGTTTATAACTGAACTTTTGAGAATCAATTACCTTTATCGTAAGAAGATGAAATTTGAAGAGAGAAAATTTGGGGATTGGAAAATAGAGATCTAATGGTATTCGCCTTTTCCACTGTCTGTATTGTGTTTTTGGGCGACCATCGAAATCGGCTTTTGAATGAAAAGTTAGTTTATTTATGACCGTTGATCATCCAAATTATGTGAAGACATCTTAACCGTACACGTTTTAATAAGTGCATGGACGGCATGATATGATTCTCACCGATCCTTACCGAAAGAGTTTTGCTACTTGGGTCAAAGTCGGCCCAAGCCCTTCTGGGATGAGTTCGGGCTGGTTTGAATTGTTCTATACAAAAAATTCAATTCCGATATTACATTTGTGTTTGAACTTTGTATTCAAGATTGATTTGACTTTAAGCAAATTTGTGTTTGATGAATGTTTATTTAAGAGTGTACATTCATAAATCTATTGAAGTCTATTTTTTTTTTTTTTTTTAAATAAAAGTCTATGTTAATGAATTTATTTAAAAACTAATATTAATATATACATACGAACTTAGTATTACTATACAAGTCCATTTTAGTTAGACCTGTAGAATTAAGTAAGCAATTTATTCGCACAATTGTAAGAATTAGAAGGAGTTATTTTGTGTCCATTACTCGTTCTCTTCCAAGTTGAAATCTAACATTTTACTAAACGAACTCAAAAATTAAACAAATGTCAAATGTCGGAAGGTCATGGAGAGGGCACGTGTTGGTGTCTCCATTGAAAGATACATTTTGTATTTGAAAAAAACATTTTCAAAATTGCTTTTAAGAAAGTCATGAAAAAATTGGCTTTTTTTTTTTAATAGAAAATTAGTGAAAATAATTTTTTGACTTTTAATGATTTTTTTTTTTTGTCCTGACTTTTAACGAATTCAAGTATCCAATATATATCTAAATTTGAATATTTCAAAAACTTCAAAAATGTTATAACGCAAAACATGTAAGAACAATAAAAATTTAGGAAGAATTGAACCTCTCATTTTTCAAACATACACATTTGCTTCGGAAAGAGAGACCTATGCGGTGTCTGAGAGAATGATATCTAAATCCAATACAATTTTGATTATGGGTGAAAATAGAAAAAAACAAAACTGAAGTAATGGAAAGTTGATTAGATTCTCAATTACGAGTGAATCAATCATGCACATCGCCATGTTGATGGTGAAATTCGAATTCAGAGTCTAATTGTTTAAGATTAGGTTAAAAAATTACCATAATAAAAGTTTGTTATCAAAGTGAAAGATTGAATATATTAAAAAAAACGAACCACAAAATAGAAAAAGATTTTTTTAGTCACATTTCCATACAAACACTTTTACCCATAGCCGGGCTTGAACCTCTCCTCTCCTCTCCTCTCTTCTTTGAAGATGGAAAGATAATTAGATCATTGGATATCGGTTGATCAATGCTAGTTGACTTTTCATGGTCGTGGTTGTTTCATTGAATATCAATGAAAACCATGAAGAGTAATGTTGCTACCTAAGAGCAATAATAATGTTTGCTCGATGACCATCCATGTCTGAGAAATTCAAATAATGCTGGAGACGTAAGCATTTACAATGGCTATCAATACCAGACAGAAGCAAACTAAGGAGTAATTTAAGAAAATGCCACGTATACATAGAGATCGAGCATGAAAAAAATTGGTGACTCCGACCTATTTAGGCTTTGTTGAAGAGGACAGAACATGGGTTATTACATCAACCATGCCTGGTTCTGTTTTACATGAACACACACGTGATTTTCTTTCCCAAAGAAGAAGACTTCTACCTCAGCTCTGTGCGTGTGTGTGTGTGTGTGTGTGTGTGTGTGTGTGAGAGAGAGAGAGAGAGAGAGAGAGAGAGAGATTTTAGCAAAACCAGTAGGGACAGGCTCTTCAGCGCTGATAACACTTTTGCAATAAATATTTCTACGGCAGAATCACAAGCATGGGCTGAGACATGTTTCCGGCGTCAGCAATTATTGACTCCTCTCTCTCTCTCTCTCTCTCTCTCTCTCACACACACACACACACACACACACACACACAAAAATTATCACACTTGAGCCTCTATTTATTTGTTACTCCCCCACTTTCCCTCCCCAAGGATAGGAAGTTTCGACTTGAGCCATTAATAATGAGATCCTCAAACATCATTGTCTTCTGCTTACTTGCAACTGCCTTCTATTTCCTCTCCCACACAATCAGCTCTTCTTCTCCCCCAACATTTCTCCCGGGAAGGCGATCGTTGAGAACACTGAACATGTCCTCCTCCAACCGTCAAGACGAATACCAGCAAGTCAAGGTGGGTTGAAAAAGTTTAACTTCTAAATATATCAAATAATTTTTGTTTTCGTGGGACATTTCCTAAATGCAAAAGTAGTGCTCTATTTTAGAATTGTTGATGCAAAATTCTACACGGAACTAAACACTGTTACTATGATAAAGGGTAAGCATGCCTGAGACTAGCTAGCATCCACGTGGTGCTAGCCAAGTATACTCTGATGATCACTACGCAGTCACCGCTTTCCCTTTCTTCCACGAATGTTGTTCGGTTTTGAATCGTGCAGAATTTTGCATCAACTATAATTATTTTTTGGATCAGGTCTCTAAAGTCTTCTAGTTGTACCATAAATGCAGGTTAATGCAGAGATAAAGAGATCAATAAAAAACCTAGAAGATTCCATGGCAATCGAACATGGGATTAAGGAAGATGCAGAGGAGCTCCTCTACCACATTGATTATCATGGAGTGATGACTCATCCAACTCCCATTCCCAAGCATCCCTAACCACACAGTACCATATAAGTTTTTTCATGCAAGGAATATATATATATAATGCATATGTATCTAGCATTAATACTAAATAATGTATAATCAATAGATGTAATGATGTATTGTTTGATCATATTTTGAATAAAAATAGTTTTGGATTGATTTCGTTTTTTAGTGTGTGTTTACTACTCCACACAGGCAATGATAACAATAACAACATAGTTAAATATGGAAATTAAAAACATAGTAAAATATTTGTGAATTCAAATGATGCATAACATACCTATAAACCTTGACTCAGTATTAATTCTACAAATCAAATGTATGAAAGTTGTTCTCTGGTTCAGATCAAGCCAGCATTTGGTATCTGAAGACGAGTGAAGTTGAAGCAACCAATTCAAACACGCCTTTCAGAAGGTAGGGTCACAGTCACCAATTAGCTCGATTGCAATTCGCAACATGCACCACGTCAAGATATATTTATGAATAATGATAAGTAATTGAAAGTTTAACGTGAGTGAGGATAACGTCATTAATAATATTATTAAATATAATTATGTCGTCTTTTACTTACATAATTTTAATGCCTCTTATTCTTCAAAGAAAGGTCAAGAGTTCAAGTCTCAGAAACAAACATGTGGGGTGTAAGTACCAATTAAGAAAAAAAAAAATAATCGAATATGTTTGACTCTCTCCCTGTATAATTACTTAACCCCTCAATTCTTCGTGAATTAATCACAAATGCCTCAATAGGAGACTGTTTTAATTTAATATTCACAGTAGAACACATCAAACATGTGTGTGTCAACTTTATTATTATTATTATTATTATTATTTTGCATTTCAAAATTAAAAAAACAAATATTCCAAGGCACAGAAATTTAAGGATTCCATTTCAATCTGGACCATGTTTGAAATCAATGTCAAAACCTTGAAATTTTAAGAAAAAATAACATCTAATATGCCCACTGCATTTAAAAAAAATTTATATTATGATACAATTAGTATAACTTTTAATTGGCTCCAAATTACTACATCGTTTTCATCGATATATATATATATATATGTTTTGAATGACATAATCATCAAATATATTTTAGAGAGAAGTTGACACAAAGTCAGCTTTCTCAGGAACAAGGTGGGCCAAAAACATTGAATTCATGTCTGACTGACATAAATGTCCATATTATATAATTTTGGCAAGAGCATGAGCCAGTCCACATGCCTTGTTCCATTTTCAATTTTCAGAACAAAAGTTTTCCAATCAATTTGATAAATGCCTCCATTTGAATGATCCACACAAAGCATGAAAGAATTGAGAGAGAGAGAGAGAGAGAGGGAGAGAGGACATTGAAAGTTAAAAAAAACCAGGACCAGCCTTTCACTAAGGATTTTCCCTTAGACAAAATAATGTAACTGTGATGGAAATGGAAAGGGAAAGGACAGCAAGGAATCCCTAAGGAAATTACAGGTAGCTCGCACACAGAGGGATTCTGTCTGTAATATTCATCGGCACCATCACTCTTACCTTTATCCAATATAAATGTGATCGATAAGTTTTAGTCGGCCTCTTTATTACTTACCTTCTAAACAAACAAATCTTCTTCTTTTGATAAGTGCATTATCAAGTCCATGAATATAATTATATTATTTAAGTCTACTTTCTTTAATTCAATTATTTATAAATATTATATCTAATGTTTTCTTCACACATTGATTATTTATCATATCATAACATTCTTATTTCTGCTACGTACATAGATCTATACACTAACATTCAATGTTCTTATATTACGTAGATGTATGATTGGTCACGGGATCAGTGGTCCATAATGTATTAATTTAGATAGTAATCAGTGGGCCATCCCATGTGCTACTGCTACAACCACCCAAATCCCTATCAAAACAAATAATTGTTTCCAGTCCAGGCCAGCATTTGGAGCACAAATATATATTAAAAACTGCAGCTAAAATTAAAGCACTGTTTCAGCATATCGTATACAAGTAATCCATGCAAACACCAATATTATAAAAAACATATTAACCGTCAATGGGAAAACACCAGTTTTAGAGGTACCACCCATTCTGTGCACTAGTGATCTTGTTTGCTTATCAACAAAGGAAAATAATTTAGAGTACAAAAATCTGAAAACTTCGACTGATTTATGTGAATTAGTAAGTGTATCAACCCTTACTTATATAAAATTAATCAGATTTGTACAATCATGAACTTTCAAATAGGTTAGGTTTTTCGTGAATTTAAAAAAAATAAAAATAAAATTTATTTATATATTTGGCAATACATTAAAATGATTTTCATCCATCAAACTTGGAATGAGGAAATAAAAATCATTAAAGAGAGATGCTTTGATGATACAAGGATTATAATAATTATATATATAACCAAGCTTCAAATTATATTATATATAAACAAGCTTCAAATTATATTATATATAGCCAAGCTTCTAATCACAATCACATTTTTTACTGGTGTCTTATTGCCCCTACAACATCAGATTTACCTCACCAGTAATTAAGCAGCTGGACTCTACCATGTGAAACACTGACCACCAATTTGAACCCACAATGCTTCAGAATTGAAAAATGAATAAGAAAAAAGAATAAACTTGCAAGAACAGAGGCACTAAAAATGTGAATGAAAATCACATGTTTGCTTAAGAATCAAGAAGTTATATGAGTTTCAAACGTTAACATTTTTCTACATGTATTTAAATGTGAATGAAAATCACAATCCCTGTCACCAGCAATGACTAATCTAATGCTTATTGCAGTTTTAGAGGAGGCTAGGAAATCTATGATCAAATGGTAAAACTAACACAAGACAGCTCAATAAGCAAAACTCGAAAAAGGACACATAATTGCTCTGATTTTGTAAAATCATTATATAGTTGCAAGTGTTCCTCACCAAAGACATATACTAAGTGACACGAATAAGAAGTACAACCATGATGAAGATACATGTCATTGCAAAAAGGATAAGCCACGTAAAGCATGTAGTCTTGGAAGTCTTCGAGTATATATCCATAGCCCGTGTGCTGGCATGGCCAGTGCGTGCCAAGCTATGCTCGACTGCCTTCTCTGTCGAATCAAGGATCTGCACTCAAATTTAATACCAAGCTTAAGATCAGACAATCATCTATCAGATTACAAGACGAACATACATAACATAACGGTCAATATTGGACAAGATCGGATCTATAATAACTCTGAGTTCCTCATCCTGGACACCTGGTTAAAAGCTGCATTTCTTTTCAAACGAATAAGATCCGTTTAAGACTTTGCCTGAAATTTTGACACAGCTAATAGGCTATCATTCTGACTCTGAAGCAATGCAAAAAATTAACCTATCAGCAAGAGTGGTTCGTTCATCTTAAGAATTTTAGATCTTTCTAAGAGAACTTAGCTTACAACATCACACCATATATAATACCTTGGCTCAGGTGGTAAGATGAGTGGGATTGGTTAGGTCAAGGTTCAATCTTGTCTAGAAAGGGTAAAAAGATATTTGTGCTTGAATTAAAGCAAAGCTACAAAATAAAATCATGGACTTACTTTCTCTGTGTTTTTGACGGATTGACTCATAATTAGACTACTTTCTTTGAGTTGCCGTGCCAACCCAACCATTTCATCTGTCAAGTCTTCTTGAAGCTTTCTGTTGAAGGCAACAAAAGCAATAAGAATTTGCAACGACAAATTATTTACAGTGAAACCACAAGTTATGTTCCCATAAAATTTAAATCAAGTAGTATCAGTGAAATAGTTCAAAAAAAGTTCCAAGGGTCAACTAGCCAATTGAACTGAAGGCCTAATGACCCAGTCATTTTCTTAACTTGAGAATTGTCAAAAATGCTTCCAAGCTGGAAATTGTTCTGATGTTCACTTTAATTAAGAAAATCAGGAGGTGAGTACAAAATAACAATATTTCAGTTCAATCACCACATCTTTACTGTTTCATTTCCAAAAACAAATGACCATTTAGTGGTTTCATTAAATTTTAACAATCACTGATTCGATTATTTCATGCTCAAAAGTACCTGTGCTTATCAATATGTGACCTTGCTGCCACATCCAATTTGACAGTCGATTGATCAGCCTTGAAGGTATCACGAGCTCTATCTTCAATGTTTGATGGGAGCCTGTTAAACTCAAAAATAAAAAAAGACAGTAAAGAACTTACCACAAAACATGGTGCACAATAAGAGCTAAAGAAAAAAGAAAAAAAAAAATTACTTACACAAATCTCTTCCTCAATCCTGGGGAAGAGGGAATGGGAATTTCTTCTTCTCCTTTGGAAGAGATTTCTCTGACAGAAATTCCTGCTAAGGGCTCGTGAGACACTTCTAGAGTGGAAGTCTGCAAAGAATAAAGGGGGTTAGAAAGAAGGCCTACATCAGTAGATTGTATTCCAATCTTGGGGCAGAGAAACTGAACAATTTCATAAAGTTGGATATTAAACAATATGTTAAATAAGACTGCTGGATGGTAACAGGAACTGACACTCAACAAAACCTAGAGTTCAAGGGAGAGGGAGGGAGGGAGGGAGGGAGGGAGAGAGAGAGAGAGAGAGAGAGAGAGAGAGAGAGAGTCAATAGCCTTTACAGACTTACAGCAGCCTTTGGGGAGAATCAATGGCCCTTGGGCATTGACATGTCTGAACAACTTTTAGGCATCACTATGTGTAATAATTCATAAAATCAGAACCAAGTACTAAAGAAAAGAGAAGCAGCAGCAAAAGGTGTCCATTTTCATTTGGTGCTCATTAGGTTGACAAAATAATGAAGTTAAGAACTACAGTTGTTAAGGATATAATCCAATCATAATTTTTGGGCACCCAATTATTCTAATCAGGATATGAAAAGAAACCCAAAATGATGCAAAGTTACTCAATTTTATGATCAATGGAACTGAGCGGTCCTTCCATTCTTTTATATCTCTTCCTAAAATGACAATAGAATGCTATCAAATAGAAGTACAAAACACACACCAATTGCTTTCTCCCCAAGAACACCACCACCTTTCCGGAGTTGTATTAACCAACATAATCCTTCCCAAAATTAGCCACCTTAACATGGAAAAATTAACATAAGCATTCTTTGGCTTTAAAAACATATATTTGACATTACAATCTTAAAACACTTTTTTAGAAGCAAAAATCTAATCAATCAATCAATCCAATGTCTCCCTCTCAGATGATCTCATAATCATGGTAATCCAAACTCCACAAACTAGAAAAACAACTTCCAAAGATAGAAATCATAGAACTACTTTTTTCCATTAACCAAAATTTAACGGTAATAGCATTCAATTTCCGTAGTCTTGACTCAACTCGACTCAAGAGAGCCTTCTCCCAACTATTTAGGTTCAACAACATTAATCCTTTTATGCCACATGCCATGCAGTTGATAACGCCAAAGGAGTTAAGTTGGGAAGGCTTTGGCTCAACTCAGATGGGCAAATGAAAATAAAATGGAATCACTTTGTGTAGAATTCAACGTAATTTTTTTATGTACTTTTTCTTTTGATACTTGGACATTCAGGGTACCAATTCCAATTCCAAGGCTCCAATTCCATGCAACCAAACACACCCTCAGTGTATTAAAGGTAAAGGGAGCATAAACAATGTACACATGATGCATAAAAAAAATCTACAGGTCCCCTATACATCAATAAAAGAATCAAAATTCTCTATCTAATCCAATAAGCCTCGAGGGAAATTCCTCACATCCAAACTAAGCAGGACTCCAAAAGAAGGCTTCCATTTCTACTCCACTCCCTCAAATAACAGCCAATTTTTCTCCCTCCAAAATGCAATACATCAAAGTAAAGAGAAGCAGCATTCCATGTCTTCTTCCTCCTCCTCCTCTAAAAAGAGAAGCAGCATGCCATGTCTTCTTCCTCCTCCTCCTCTAAAAAGAGAAGCAGCATGCCATGTCTTCTTCCTCCTCCTCCTCCAAACAGAAAAGCAAATATGTCATTGTCCTGGACAAAATCCACGTTATTTCCAACCAGGCCAGTGCTAGAGATCAAAGGTTCCTATCCATTCAACAATGAATCAAAAGGTGGTCCACCAACTACACAGCCTCCTTGCACAAAACAACAGCAGTCAGATGACACTCTTCTTCTATTTAAACTATTTAAAGTGCAGAAGATTTTCTATGAGCTGCCAACTACGCCAATAACAGCACCTCGGTAGGTGACTTAGATGCCCAAATACCTTCCAAGGAGAACAACCATCTTTAGTACCAGTCAACACTTTGTAAATATGACTTAGCCTCAAACCTCCTTGACTTCAAAGTTTCCCATCACACCTCATGCTCTCCCCCCAAGTGCTGTCCACCTTCTATAAAGCTTCTATAATCTACTCCACTACCAATAGTGTAATATTTGCAATTGGAAAAAGGCAAAAAAAAAGAAAAAGAAAAAGAAAGCTAGCCTTTTTATCATGTTAAACATAGTCAGGATTGTCCCTAATTTTCTGGTCAAAGATTATGATAAGATAGGTAATTATGTATTTATGTTCATTCTCTGAAGTCTGAACAGAATTGTCAAGCACTGTATGGTGATGACCATAATATCTAATTATAACATAAAAGGATCCCTTGCAAATATATGTTAATCTTGACCTAACTGTAATGACCTAATAAGTTAATAAAACTAATAAAATTCTTTATATAAAACTCAACCACAAAAGCTAGCACCTTAAAGATCAACCAAGATAATAATCCATGGGAGTAATAAGTCTCTTTATGCTCTCCGCTCCTCTACCATAGGATTTCTCTCATTGAGAGATAATTAGCTACATATATGCTAAAATTTATAATCAGATAAAGTTAGGTGTTTCACATAATAAAATAAGTTGGAAAAATCCACAACATGAACAAATACACATTTGCTTCATTATTATTGTCAACTAAAACAGTCCAAGCCTAAGTAACAAGAACGCTACTTCAAAGTTTTCTTCCAATGAGAAACACCTCAAAACGGATATACATCAAACTGTCACACCACAGTATTAATTAAATTAAAAAATGTTCAATTCCCATTGCTGATAATCTAGATATGAAAGTTCATATATCAAAGAACTTTCATTGCATTATTTCATCACATAACACAGTTATGTCAAACTAAATTATGAGTAGGAAACAAAATACTCAGATTCTCAAAAAGATAGAGCTGCACATGATGTGGTAACATCAACGGCAGATCATGTTGTTCCAAAGAATTAAACCCATGTTAATTAAAATTAATTTAACTTGATAAAACCTGAAGCTAACATGTAAATTGTCACACAGAAACGGTAATGACTAATACATGACTAAACGTACCGTAGGGACAGCTAATTTGGCAGCAACAGCTTCAATCTTTTCTGAATATTCATTCACTTTAGCTTTTGAAACTCTAGAAATAATTCAGAACAGAATAACAGTATCATTAAATCAGGAAGCATATAAACTCTCGAACTACCTACATACATGGATAGCACTAATTGAACATAATAAGAGAATAATTAGGAAGGAATAATCAGGAATTAAAAATTTTCCATACAACTTTGCCTCATTTAGCATAAATCGAGTAAGTTGATCCAACTCAACAAATCTTATGTGACCGAATAAATGAACCCAAAGCACCATGTGTGATCTGCATATGAAGCTGCAGCAAGCCAGCATACAAGAGTCATATTCCACTCAAGGAAACCAAAAGACCACTTTTAGGCCTTCTAAACTGCCTCATAGGCTCAGACACTGGTTTCTGTGTTCTGATCACCAAGCACCACTCAAAAGAAATATCCCAAGTAGAAAGGTGGTCTGCCCGCAGGATGAAATCACCCAATCTATGCGGGTGCACCCATGATTAAATTTAACTTGCAAGGGCTTTCCCATGATAACATTCATTCACCCCCCATCATATTTACTTACAAGGCACTCCACCTTCCCAAAACATATTACATTGCTGAACTTTTTATTATCAAAGTAAACCTTTTTTAAATTACCTACCTAAAGAATATAGTATTAAATTTGCTAGGAGCATGAACCCAGATCTTCACTAAATGAGGAGCCAAGAACTTGTAAGTTTAAGAGAACCACAAAAACTCCATGAATTCATTCATCCTGAAGACATGTGATACTGTGTAGCAATCATGGTAGAAGAAACTGAGTGTGGGGGGGGGGGGGGGGGGGGGGGTTTCATACCGCGGCAATCCTTCTGGAGATCTCTCCTCAGCCAATTGCTCCAATTGTTCTCGTAATGTAGCGATATACTGCAAAACGCCATCACCTATAAATGCTGAATATGATACGAATTCTTAACCACGAGGACAAGAAGACTAACACTTCGGAAACTTATTATCCATTAAAAATATATATATAGATTATGAAAAAATAAAAGATAATCCATTTAAAATAAATAAAAGCAAGCAACCTACACATCTTCCTTCGTGAGTTGTATTTATTTATTTTATTTTTTAAATATTTACAGTTTTTATTGAATATGTTACAGTTGTTTCTACTCTATTGACTCTCTTCTAATGCCAAGTTTTAGTTTTTGTCAGGTCATATTTACTCCTGCTTAAGAGTTGCTTGTCACACAAAGTGGGATGTCAGCAAAATAGGATAAGAGTACATAGGCAAAAAAGCCTGGTTTATCATTCAAAATACTGTGTGAAATGACTCAATATATATATATTTTTTGATAAGTAAAAAAGTACAGGCAAACATGAAATGACTCAATATATAAACCTGACTTGAAAATTGCTATATGTTTATATAAAAATACGGTACTCAAAAATGAGAGAGAGAGGGAGCATATAAACCATTTCCATATTAAAAGTTCCATTTCAAAGTTACATAGACATACATGTAAAAGCTTTGCTTGGTTTTGTTGTTGAGGTGCAGCTGCAAGCAACCTTCTCAAGTTTACTTCTGTTTTACTCAGCGCCATCACAATTCACAAGATCCTATAACATTGAAAAAAAACTATAAAAATAATAATAATAATAATTAATGACAACGGAATACCTACTTCATACAACACTACTTTTAGGCATTAGATCAGTGAGCATTTATCACACATATGAACTAAAAGACTTGCTAATAACAACTGAGTTCGGATAATTCACCAATGGGTAGAAGACGAAACCGGAAAATAAGCAATAAATCATTATATTGGTGGGCAAACGAACTAAATACCTGAGATTCACAAATGAAATTTACAGGCAACTTGGCCGAATCATAATATTACAGATCCATTGAAATGGAATGATGGCACAAGTTTTTCTAATTCCCTAAAAGCAAAATATCTATTTGATTGAATTTCCAATAGACATCCAAACATGCCCCAAAACCTCATTTCACTTAAACTTCGTGATATCAACGAAACAAAATTACTATTTCATATACCATCAGAAAGTTCTAACACATAGATCTTCGTTGGACCAAAGACTCTTTTCATTGGGGAAAAGATCAATATCGAATTTAAATTGTCGAAAAGAATTAAACAAAAAAACCTAAAAATACCTGTTCCCTCGAGCTTTTCTACCGAAATCCAATGGTCCAAATTGATCTTTCTAAAAAAATATAAGTTTTGAGCACTGATTTTATGGTTTAGGGAGGAACAACAGATACGGTGGTGGAAAAATATGGCGGTGCTTGACGGTGGCCGGCGATGGACAGCAGTACAGGTGCTCCTCTACGGTTGGAAAAAACGGGTTGAGAGAGTTGGGACAGGAGAGAGATTGAAGTTACGGAATAAAGGTAAGCATTCTGGAGGTGAAGTTACAAAAATACCCTTGTACAATTAACTTTTTACTGTGCTTGATATTTCAAAGCACCATGTACTGCAAAGCAATACAAAGAACAAGAAGATCTGACTTGAGATTGACTTGAAAAACTGAGTTCTGCGAAGAGCTCTTGTTCTTGAAGATTCTGCAGTTGCGCTCTTGCCATATGTGGTAGATGGTTGCTGCGAAGGCAAGCTTGGAATTAATTTGACAGTTGAAATAGAGAAAAAACGAGCGAAGCAGAGCAAGAGAGTAAAGTACAGTGAGTAGCGACCAAATATTCGGTCCGAATGTCGTCGTCGTCGCCGCCGAGAGTGACAGTGACTCAGCGAGAACAATGGATGACGGAGAACCAGGTTTTTCAAATGTACCAACCTTTCTTCAACCTACCACCCAAATCCCAAGCCGTCATGTAAGCTCTCGCCTCTCTTTAACAATTCTAGGGTTTGATTTCATATAGATATATATATCAGTCTGTGCCCATCCATTTTATACGATCTTTGATGGTATATATGTGAAAGGTTGGAGCTTCAACGTGATAAGCACATAGAGTACCTCACCAATGGTCTCAGACAACTCAGTCCCGCCTTTTCCTCCTTGGATGCCAAGTAACCCTCCTGTCTCATCTTTCTCTCTCTCTATATTTACATATATATTTATATCTTTTTCTTTTATATTTTTGACATTGCTTATATATATATATCAGTCGGCCTTGGCTTTGCTACTGGATCATTCATTCAATTGCTCTATTGGGGGAGTCTCTTGATGCTGAATTGGAAAGTAATGCCATTGACTTCCTAAATCGTTGTCAGGTTTGGAGTTTCCACTAAATCTCGCTGCATCATTCTTTTAGCAACATCTCCTAAATAAAGTGTATGTCTATCTCAGTGTGTGTAATGAAATGACATTTTTTTTTTTTTTAATTTTTAATTTTCTTTATCAAGTAATGAAATTACCATTCTTTCTAACCCGTTGTATTTTAACTTATTTTATTTCTAATCTCATTTGTAATAAGTAAGATTTTATCACAAAACTATGATCCATTTGAGTTGTATGGCTTCTTAATAATGTGATAATGATTAAATAGTAATGAATGAATCTTAGTGTGATCAATATTACTCTCTTTTTTTTATTTTTTTTTATTCTAGTAGCAATGTAATGATCATCAAGTCCGGTAGGTCAATCACAACATGTCCCTTAGGTTAGAGCAGCGTAATACACATTCAATTGTATAGGTCAACAACCTCAACTTGAGCCTTCAAAATTAGCATCTGTTGTGTTTGCTAAATTCATGTTTGGGATTATTATTATTATTATTATTATTATTATTTATTTTATATGAGAGAATGATGAAATGATTTTTCAAAACCATTTCGGTGAAGTTCTTGTTATTACTATTTGATGATTTACTTGTAATCTTTAGCTTCCTCTCTTTTTTTATGACAAAGTTATTCTTCTGGGCAATGTGAAAGCTTTCTGCGGGTTTTGATTTCAATTGTGTTGTCTTGTTATGCTTACAGGATCCAGATGGCGGATATGGTGGAGGACCTGGACAGGCAAGTTAATGTTTTATTGTTACGCAACATGCCTTACTGATATCATTCATGAACAAAATGTCTATTTGGCTACTACTAGCATTATTTTCAGTACTTCGATGTGGCAATTGAGTTCTATAGGTTCATGAAAATTTTGAATTGATTTTTATCTAAGCTCTACAGTAGTCGAACTTGTTCTTTTTATTCATTAGCCCTTCATTGTCTGCTTCCTTGTATCTTAACTAAATTATTATTATTGTAACTTCTTTATGAACATGTTTCCTTGAGAAAACAATAAAGTTGGAAGTCTCAGAGTTTAATCTGTAACCGTCTCAATTTTTGTGCATCTAACAGATTATATTGTTGCAAGATGAAGCCACTCAAATGGATAAATCATGTCTGCATTCCTCTTTTTCAGTTTAGCTTGTGGTTGTGGTTTCTTATCCTCCCTCCCATAATAAGTGTTGTCCTTTGGGACTCCAATTTTGTTGGGAAATGCATTTTACCCCTTGAAAAATACAAAACTAACCAACAAAATTTACAAATTTACTTTATTGATTTGAAAAGACTTTCAAAAAGCTGAGGAGAACTTGAAAAAAATTGTAATTTGGAATATCTCAAAAAGGAAAATGGATATTTATTGTGGAACATCCCAAAAGGAGAGCATGACACTTATTATGGTGTGGAAGGAGTTTTTTTTTTTTTTCATCGGCAGGTATAAAGACAATAATATGCAAGGTGTAACTATAAGGTTTCTTTCATTTATTATTTAAACATTAATTCTGTTTTCTTTTTCTTTAATCAGATCCCATAAATTTTGTTATATATCAAGTATTCGAAGTCCCAGTTTTGTTTGAAGAGGATATTGACAGCTATTCTGTTACATGAACTAAAAATTTGAGTTCACATTCTTTTGTTCTTTTTCCAAATGAATTTTATTTAGATCACTGTTTAATGATGCATATTGAGTCTAGCTGAGCTGCTTTTCTTTATGCCAGCCACTAACTTTTATGCAATTTATCTCAGCTGCCACATCTTGCAACAACTTATGCTGCAGTCAATTCACTTGTAACTTTGGGTGGTGACAGAGCGTTGTCATCAATTAATAGGTGGTTAGTTTATACTCGGGGAAATTTGCTATTTTATCACATTCTTCTGCCCTTTAGAAAGTTATCTGATATGGATTTTTTACAGAGGTAAACTATACACATTCTTGCTGCAAATGAAACATCCAAGTGGGGGATTCAGGTGTGACGTCATATTCATTAGAGTATTTTGAATTTATAATTTCACTGCGATACCTCATATCGTTTCATTTTTGCATCCCAATTTCTATGCAAGCTAATAATTGATTATAATCCAAGATGGAAAGCGTGGTGTTTGTGTATGTTTTCATTGTCATTTGTGTTTGTGTATGTATAATTATGGCATGTATATATGTAGTCCAATAAAAAATATTCCTCTAATGAATGATCACAATTTCTGTACAGATGGGTACCTATGGTACATATACATGACAATGTTTCTCATTTTCATCATAAAACTTGGATTCATTTGATACCTATGTGCATATATGTGACAACGTTCTTATGTTCATCATGCAACTCGGATTACATTTTTGTGGTAGGTATATATGACTTGGAATAGTTAAAATGGTATATCCTTCCTTTCTATGCTTTTTTATTTTTGTGTGTGCGCGCGTTGGGGGGGTGTGGATTATTGGCACTTATCAAACAATGCCTATGTCATTTTGGTGCAGTGGTCTTTTCATTTAAGGGGAGAATAGAATATAACAAAAAAAATAACTCGTGATTTTCTAGGCTTAGAATTTTGCAGGATTGCAACTATTGGGTTGGTAGTCGAACCCAATTGAATAAAATGCTGGAAGGAAGTTCAAAAGCAGGAAATTATTCTTGGGAATTTTATAAGGTTCGAGGATACTGACTACAGTTGATATTTAGGAGAATTTTTCCCGAACGAGCTTTAAAGTAAAAAATTATTGTTAAAAATATTCTCTCTTAAATAATTATTTATATATTCCAATTTCCTTGAGAATTTGAGGACCTTGGCAACTACCAAACTATATGATCCATTTTTCAACATTCCGGTTGAGTTGGTGGATACCTGGTTTGCTTGTGAGGCCTAGAAAGGTAATATATCTGGAACAAAGTTTGTTGAAATCGCAAAGGGTTCTTGATTCTTAATTGTTTGATAATTTTTTTTCCTTCTCATTCTAATTTTTCTGTTTGCTAGCCGCTTAATCTTGTTGAAGTGTTTAGATCTATATCTGAATCTTCACCATAAACCCTGATACTTAAAAATACAGAAAACTTGCTGACTCCTAACTTCTTTTGATTCAAATGAGTATGGTTTGCCACAATCTTTTTGTAATTTTTGAATCAGTTCTCAGTTTGACTGGACAATATGGTACATTTTACTCAAAGAATAAACCTTTTAATGGTTCCTTGTTCACTTTTTAGTGTATATATAATTTAAGGAGCCTAGTATAGACTCTTTTTTATATTGTATATTACTTTTCATCAGGATGCATGATGGTGGAGAAGTTGATGTTCGTGCTTGCTATACTGCCATTTCTGTAAGTTTAATTCTTTCTATTCCACCTAACCACCCCCCCCCCCCCCCCCCCAAAAAAAAAAAAAAAAAAAAGTTCCTGCTTGTGTTGAAGGATTGAAATGTTAAAGTTACACCCTCTCTAATAGCTTAAGTTTTTAGAGTAGATGGTGGTTAACATGGTATCAGAGCCAAAGATCTTGAGTTCAAACCTCACCATCACCCTAATAAAAAATTGAAACACATGTTGGACCAAAAGAAAGCCACATGTGAGGGGGCGTGTTGAAGGATTTAAATATTAAAGTTACACCCTCTCTAATAGCTTTAGCTTTTAGAGTAGGTAGTTAACAATATCTATGTAATTGAAATATAAGGATAGAATAGTGGTTGCCACTGAAAAAAGGATAGAATAGTGGTTTTTATGAGAGGGGGTGGACCGGGTGGTGGTTGTACTATATCTGAATGTGGGTCAAATTACCACGTATTAACAAGGGAATATGAGAAAAAAAATAAAGAAGAAAAAAGATGGGAAATTAGTGGAATGTCAACAAAAGGAAATTCTCTTTTAGCTAAAACTTAATAGAGAACAGATACAAATTCATCTTCATTTCTGCCTTTCCACTCTGATAGAAATGTACATTCCTTTAACATTTGCAACTAAAGGGGCTGCTGATAAACTTAGAAGCATGGTATCAGGTTTAATATTATATATTACTTTCTCATGGATCCATTTACTTTAAATGGTTTATTTATTCATCTTTGTTTTCTTGAATACTGCTCTTTCAATCTTTTATTGATATCTACCATTTTACTTTTCCGCCCAGGCTGCAAGCATTCTGAACATTTTGGATTATGAACTTGTAAAAGATGTTGGAAATTACATCTTGAGGTTGGTCTCAACTAGCTTTTACTCTCAATTTTACTGCTGGGGCCATTTAATTCAGCAATCTGTTTCATGCTTGTTCTATATGTATTAATTACTTTTCATTTCTCTGTAGAGCTGTTTTTTACCTGCTTGAGCTGTTTTGAATTCTACCTGCATGTTTCCTAAGATGTTTTCAGATGCATGAACTATTATATATCCACACTATGAACTTAGAATAACTGCATCTGAAATGCAGTGCATATTACACCTTGTATTGATGCATAGGTTCTCCCTCTCCCAGGTTTATTTAAACATGTAAGCATAATTTTATGAAGTTATGTCCTTACATAGAGCAGAAGGGAGCTAATCGTGAATAGTTGAAACTTGAAACAAGGCTTTCTTCAGTTGAATAGTGTATGAGCTGAAGGCCCAAAGTCACAAGTAGAGATGTATTTTAATGTGTTTATGGAACTTATGTGAAACTTATCATGTAATATAAATCCAGCAAGTGTCAAGAAAAGGCTTTGGACATGATTTAGCACATTGGTGACATTTCTGCAATTCTGTCGGACTTGCCCCAAGTACATTCCATGTGCAAAGTAATATAATTATACTCGTGAATTTTTTTACATTATATGGACTTGGGTAACTGTGTGGGTTGCAGATGCAGTCTGTATATTCAGATTCATCTAATCGCTATATCTCATTACACACGGACATGGACAAATTAAATCATGGCTGAAATCTATTGTCGTTAATTTAGGTGTAATGAAACTTCTATGCAATATAGCTTCTTAGACGTGGATAATCCATGTAATGAAAGGAACAAGTTTGGAAGTATCCTATGCAACTTTGAATGAAATAGTTGTATTCTCCTATATTTTTTTGTAGAACAGTCTCACTTCGAAGTGTCTAAAATGAATGTGTCAGATGCATATCCATAACCATTACTCATGTGGAGTAACCTGATAGTCTATGGATATCAGTGTCCATGTAACATAGTGGCAAATACATGTGTGTATGCAACATGTTAAGATGAAACTTTTTTCTTTTCCTTTCTTTCAAGATATTGTAAATTAGTGTTGTGTCGGAAATAATTATCTATATATATATAGAGTATCGAATTATCTAAAACTCATGCCATTATGAGAAATAGAAAAGCAAGATAACACAAGGGCTCGACATGAGGAGGATGGATTTATATTATATTTTTTGAAATATATGAAAATATACATTATAATGGTTTATTGCTTGGTGCAATTGTAAAGCTCGGGTTACAAGCACGAGGACGCAGATTCAAGTATGAGTAATTACTTCATGCAAAATCATGTCAAAAGTTTTATTTTTCCAGTCTTCCAGTGTCCAGCACTCTCTGGTTTGCCTTTTTGTTACCCTAAGTTGTCTGTTGAGTTTGTGATATATATATTAATACCGGTAAATTTGAATTGTTTTATTAATTATCATGTGATTGTATTGAAGCAACATAATTCTTGTATCCATCGCCATTAGAGAAATATGAAAGCTATTACGAGTAACTGCTAGGAAAAAATGGAAGTGAGAACAAAGTGACATATACAGTTCAGATTCTACCTTTATGGGAAGAAAAGATTTTGGTGCTGGTGCAGAGGATTATATTCTGCAAGAGATTTCGTCTTTTTATTATTGTTGCTCCTGAAAAAAATAGAAATACCTATCTTAAGGCTCGGTTTTGTGGCTGAATTCCTGAAAGAGATCTGTTACGAAGATGGCTAAACTGCTAAAGTTGGTTAAATAATAAATCAGTATGATACTTTGTTTGAGAAGGAAATTTAATGCACAGTATGATCAAAGCTTTGAGTAAAATTTTCACATTGCAAGGAATGTTGCTATTATTGTGGATTACGTATTTTAGTGTTTTCTTAATGTTTATTTTTTAATCATTATGAATAATAGATGGCTGTACTCACTTGCATCTACCCTGCAGCTGTCAGACCTATGAGGGAGGCATTGCTGGAGAGCCTGGTTCTGAAGCTCATGGTGGGTATGTTTCTCACTTATATTTGTTCTTGTATCTGCTAAGGGGCTATGATTCGGTTTCTTGTGATGGTAAACCATTGGGATGAGATACTTCTCCTTTTTATGCACGACGTTGTCTTTGGTGTGATATCTTTCACATGTGTCTCTTTCATGCTCTTATGGTATTTGGAAAGCCACTAATCTAATTTTTTTCTTTATTAGGTACGCCTTTTGTGGGTTGGCCACGATGATTCTAATCAACGAGGTTAATCGTTTGGACTTGACTAGTTTAATTGTAAGAGAATCTTTCCTTCTCTTAGATCTTGCTTCTCTATGAACTTTTTCATTATCTGTCTTGGAATAAATTATCGTGGTTTCTCTGACTATGCATTGCTTATCTGCTATATTCTAATTGTCCGTCTTTCACTTTTGGGCTCAATTATGGGCACAAAGTATTAATGTTGTGCTGATCAAGTTTTACTTTTAAATAAATGTTTAATTGATGATGTTGTTGAACTAAGGGCCAGTTAAGATATATATCTTTTTACCCCCCTGAATCAGTGAGGATATATATCCCTTCATCGTAATATTAAACCATTCATGTATTCCTCAATCCTGAAATTAGCTTCCCTGTTTACGATGGAAAATTTGTTAAAGATCAGTGGCTAAAATTGAAGGAACAAAATCTGAGATGAAAATTCTGTTGTAAAAAGCATTCAGTGTTTGTTCTCATGGACCGCTTGTTTTTATGGGTAAAATCTATTTTCTAGCTCTATCTTTGAAGCATATAAATTGGACTAAAAGTGATCTTTTTCATTTATTATTTTTGGGGTTGGTGGGAAGCCTTTTGCAGAAGCTTCTTTCCTCAAACCAGGTTTGCAGATTAAAACTAAAAATTAGGAAATGCTTCACTACATTGGGAGCTTTCCTTTAGTAAATCTCCATTGAGAATATAACAACAAATTTCAGCAAAAACCTGAGATGGTGTGTTTTTTAAAAGGGTTGGCAGTAAAAACAGCTATTTTCTGTTAGATGAAACCCTTAGTTGTAATACTTATTTGTGATAATATCCTTGAGCGTGTGTCAGCTTATCTTTTACTATGGTACCAGGACTGGGTTGTGTTTAGACAAGGGTCGGAGGGTGGATTTCAAGGGAGAACAAATAAATTGGTCGATGGCTGCTACTCCTTTTGGCAGGTGATGACTGTTCTTTTCATCATGTATCAATGTTGGTTTCAACTTCTAAATGGAGTAATAGTATATCAAGTGAACCAGGGAGGAGTTTCTGCATTGATACAAAGATCATGTTTCGCTGATGAACAATTGCTGCTGTCGGATACTGAAGGAGCCTGCAGTACAGATAGCACACAATCTGTAGCATCTGATTTGTCTGAAGGTGAACAAGGCTTGGAAGGGACTTCATCTCATGCTAATGAAACTTGCTGTTCCAGGCAGGAAGGTATGCTAACTTAGAAGAGTAAGGGAGAATTAATGTTATCTATTTCCTCAAGCTAGGGGATCTGATCTCCCTCACCTCTTATATGTTCTTTTTATTATTCTTGTGTTTCCTTTTTGTTATTTAAAAAACACAGATAGAAACTGCATTCCTTATGGTAGATTCTCTTTTGTGGTTCCTACACCCACCTGCAGGAGAACAGAATGTTTCTGATCCGGTAAATTTGTTCAACATTGGTTTTGATTTTATTAAAGGACGTTCTAAAATGGAACCTCTTTTCAACAGCATTGCTTTGCAACAATATATTCTTCTGTGCTCTCAGGTGTGTTTAATTTTAAAGATTCTTTAAATATTGTTTACCAATGCCTAGTTGGTTACTTTTGCACGTCTGGTTTTGTCTTCCTATTATCTGCCTTCATTACCTTAGCGTACCTTCTGGGAAACCTTGTTAAGTAGCGCAACTTGTTCAAAATTATCATTTTCCAGTGTTCTTAGCCTATTAAAACAGATATGGCCATTTTGTCATTACTAAAAAAGCAAAATTACCAGCCTCACCTCTAAAAGGAAAGAAATTGTCCTTTTTCTTTTTAGAATTCATATGAGACACACGCTTTTAGCTCCATGTTTTCCAAGCGAGATTCAATGATGACAAGGGCCAGATTTGGCTGCCACTGCCTAAATGAAGATTTTGGTTGTTTGACCAAGGGTATTGTGGCTTGTGAATAAGTGAAAGAAGACTTATACGGCACATGATCTTGCCAAACCTTGGGGCGGGCGGGGGGACTATTAACACTCCAATATAGGACAGCTATTTAGACGTCTGCTCAGCTGAAGATTTTGTTTAGTTAGATACTTACCAAATCATCACATATTAGTGCCTAGTTCAATCTACTATTCACATACTTGTGTTCCAACGCTCCAATATAGGACAGCTATTTAGACATCTGCTTAGCTTAAGATTGTGTTTGGACATACTTACCAATTCGCCACATATTAGTGCCTAGTTCAATATGGGATGCAGATTGTAGATGATTATGATTTTGCATAGGTATTTAATTAGTAGATTTTTCCTTTTCTTGCAAGAGTTGGATTCTCACATTATGTGGTTGATGCAGCTGGACAACGGAGGATTCAGAGACAAACCGGGGAAGAATAGAGATTACTACCACACTTGTTATTGTCTAAGCGGCCTAGCCGTGTGTCAGTACAGCTCGTCAAAAGATGCTGATTCTCCACCTTTGCCCAGGACAGTAATGGGCCCTTATTCCAATCTATTGGAACCCATTCATCCCCTCTTCAATGTCGTCTTAGATCGGTTTTACGAGGCACATGAATTCTTCTCAAGGCCTTAGGCCAATTATTAGTGTTGGTAGTTTTGTTAAGTTTAAAGAAGGGGGCATGAATGCTGCAAATCTGTAATATGAGACTAATATTCATATGATCTTGTGACCAGAATGAGTTATAAGTGGGGCATGCCCTCTATTACTGCAGGAAGTTAGTTCGGCCTCCTGCTTGTATCAAGAGAAATTAGAACAGTTGTTTCAGATATTGCACAATATATATTGTTGACAATTTTACTAACTCTTCTTCTGATGTTTGAAGCTTTGTTGTTGATAGTAAACACCAAAAAAAAAAAAAAAAAAAATATTGAAGCTGAGTTTTTGTCCTGTGTTATTATCCCTCTTTGTTGGGATGCTGTTAGGTGCATAAGAAAAAGTTTCTAGTATATGATTTCTTAAAATTTCGTTTTACAAGGGAATAATTTTTTTTTTTTTCTCTTGCATAATATCCACTCAATTTAAAAAATAAAAAGAAAATAAAATAAAACTTTCATACCTTTTGTGTTTTTATTACCATTGGAAAGAGAGTTAATCTTGCCTGTAAATCATTAGTAATCATGATGTTAGTTGGGATCACTGGTGCAAATTCCGTGGGATTAAAGTAATTCAGTCTACCTGTCACGCAAACAAACACTCCGAATCGTAATTGCGTTGATAAAATAGTACATATTTATATAACTTCATTAATGAGTGTACCTTATTACGTTTAGATTGAGTACTTACACCTCTTTATTCCTAATCCCTAACTAACGTGGGCTCCTCTTCTCCAAGAGTCGCTTTAGTAGGTAATAGCTTAATCATAGAATTTTTAAACAAATTTTTGCACCAAAACACAAGGCAAATTCTTCAACATTGTAATCAGGACTTAAGTCACATAAAGCGGAAAAGAGAGCGAAAATAAATTTGAGAGTGGAAACATGAGAGTGACATAATTAAATCATAAATAGTGAGAATTTAAGCCTACGTGGAACGTGAGAAGAAGCACACTTGTGATACCGTTAAGAATAATGATATGACTTGGGTCAAAACGGAGGGAGTCCACGCTAGGGAACGTGCCTCCTTAATCTTCTCCCTTGCTTATATATATATATATATATATATACTTATAAAAATATAAAAAGTACCTTTTGAATTTTCTCTTTTGCTTATAATATTCTATATATGTTTTTTTAATATTCTATAGATTTTTTTTGTCTCTCCTAAATCGTTTCCTTAATTCTTATATTCTATATCTATAATAGTTTCATTCCAAAAATATCACTATATTATATACATACATATATATATATATTAATTTATATGTATGTACGTTATATTTTAAATATATATTATGGTGTAGAATATTACGTTGTGGCTCCATCCCTTGATGTAGTACAGTGAATTTCACAATTGGCAAGAGATGGAACTCACCGTAGAGTCTATCATTTATTACTGTGCATTATTTACTTGGATTCATTATTTTTATGTTCGTAAAATATATTTAGCAATAAATAAATCCTTTACTTACTCCTATCTTTTAAACCTGAATTATCAATTAAACTGTAATATATAAAATAGGTGTTAATCCAATGATATAACCTAATGGGAAGGGGAGTGACGGGTTGGCAATCTCCGCGGGAAGCTTACCCAACTATGTAATAATAATAATACTTAATTAAGAAAAGAAAAACTTAGCAGCATGCGCATTGCTCTAAGCATTGACACATGTCTACTTCTGGTTGGATATAATAAGTCTTAGTCCAACACAATGACCTGTGTTTTTATATTGCCAAGGAATCATTTCAAGTTCCAAGGAAAAACTGCCAAATCTATCCGTGTCAATATGATTCATTATTCATTAATCACCGACCTCCTTCAAAATTCTCTCCCCCACACACAATTTGTAATTTAGATCACACACAGAAAAAATGGAGGACGAGGAAAAGCAAACAGTTCCGTACAAAAAACCAGCAGAACAATCCAGAGTTAGTTCTTCGCCTACTCACTCCTCCGATCATGGTCCGCCGGCGAGGTTACCGGAAGATACTCCGGCTAGATCATCCATCTCCTCCAATCAAAGCCGTGGGAGCTCTATCAGTCATGGATTCTCTCCCAACCACGACACGGTTCCGGAATCTCCTCCGATCAAAACAATGGGAGCTCAATTTCGAGCGAATCCTCCGAAGCCGGAGATGGTGGTGACCCGGTCAGTCCGGGAAGAGCCGATGCCGGTAACATGGAAGTATGCAGGAGCGGGAGACGGTTTCAGCGGTGGAGCTGTGGAAGAAGGTAGTGGAGAAGGAGGAGGTGGAGGTCGGCTGAGGAAATCTTTGTCGATTCTTAGGAGAACGAAGAGAGAGAAGATGGTGAAGGAGGCCGCCTTAGGACTTAGGGTTTGCGGGATGGTGTTTTGCTTGATTTCGTTCTCAGTGATGGCCGCTAACAAAAATAAGGGTTGGGCTCTTGATTCATTCGACCGATACAAGGAGTTCAGGTATTTCACTGCATATTCATATATAATCGAGAGATACAGGAGTACTAAAGAGTGTTGTGATACAGTAGTCCTGAGTGTGCAAGTCAATGAAAAAGATTTTTTCCAAATCAATTTTTGTTATTGATTGATGTAGTTATTATTGAAATATTTATTGAGATCGAATGTAACGGAGTTGTGATATATGCAGGTACGCTATGGCGGTGAATGTGATAGGGTTTGTATATTCAGGTGGGCAGGCTTGTTTTATGGCCTACCATTTAGCCACCGGCAAGTACGTTTCCCGACACCAACTCCGTTATTTTCTCGATTTCTCCGTGGATCAGGCGAGTCTTTCTTACTGTACTATTAATTTTTAAGTCAGTGTAGATATTGTTGCAGTAATTATTTTGGTGTGACACAACCCAACCTTAGTCTGCTTTTTCACTTTTTGGGGCTCTTTTTGGACTGTTATCAGTTATGACTTGTGGGCTTGGGGTCCACACGCTCTTGGGTAAAGTGTTTTCTTTTTTTTCCCCTGGTCCACCACTCAACCCAACAATGGTTGTGCTGTTGTGCAGTAACCCATTGGTGGATTCTTTGAATGAGGATTGCTTTTATTCCTGCACAGGAGTTGATTGTTGGTGAAACCCACTAAATTGTAGCACAATAATATAGTTATTGTATAAATGATATAAAATTATTGTATAAATGATCGAAATGACAAGAAACGTGACACATGATTAAATGGCACGGTAAAGGATCCGAGTTTGTTTTTATATATGGGGCTTTATTTGGGGTTAGGGATTTGGCCCACAAGGACCATGTGGTTTTTGGAGTCCGTTTAGAGTCCTTTTTCCTTCTAATGCCGCATCTACTTTTTTACTACTTTTTGTTCGAAGGTTGCTATTGGGCCTATGTGGAATATACAACTCTACCACTTCATAAAGCAAAGAATTTGCACCAGTAAAGGCCCTTTTGATATGCTTGCTTTATTACGGCATTTTATTTTTTTCTAAAATGCTATCAGTTGGCCTGGCATATGACAGAGATCTTGATAAATAACTTAAGAAAAAATTGTGAGAAATAATGCAAGAAGAAAATCACTGAGATAACGGGCATGCATAGTGTATGAACTACATTACCACACTGGTATGAAGATAACTTGAAGTGTATATACACAGACTGAAAATTACTACTTCTCATAGCCCATGGAACACAACCTATTTAGAATGAACTGAATGAAGCATAAGCCATGTTTGGGACCACCGAATGACCCCATTCCAAATCCAAGGATTCGGTGCTCCCAAAAGCAACAATATTGTTTTTCTTGTCATCGCAGTTTCGTGTTAAAATTATAGTTTTAGTATTTAATATTTCCACCCCTTTAACTGTCAATTAATAGTGTCAATTAAAAATGATTTCTATTTGCATGCATTGTTTTGCTGCGAATATTATGTGGCTCGCTTCATGTAAAGATCTTTTGCAGGAATTTGACATGTAACAAGATTTTCCAATTTTTGGTATTGCCCCATCTTTCAACAAAGTCCCTAAAACTTTTAGAAAATAGCTATTAGAATTCATTTTTAGGTATTCAAGATGATTAGTAATTGTTTGGTTGTGATTCTTGTGAAACTTTGCTTGCAACACCAGCTAGTTGCACACATTGAGTTGGCACCATGCGCTGGGTTGGTTGGATATCCTCTTGGTCCTCAAAACTTCTTGTAACCAGTTGCAGGTCTCAATTGAGAGTGTCCAAAGAAACAAATGAGAACTCTTTGAAGGCAAAAAAAATAAATAAATACACATATTGAATTAATCTGCTAGAGTGTTTTGATTAACATGATAAATATCTTTTTATTATCGTTAAGGCGCTTAAAGTATGTTTCCTTTTCCCTTCCTATTTTAGGTTCCTTTAATCTAGTCCTAGTTCTAGCATATTGGTTGTGCTTCCAAAAAGCACATTTGAAGCCCCTTCTTGAAGGGAGAGGCAGCAATATATCATTTAGCTACAATTTTACTTTCCATTTTATGCTGATATATTTAGTGGAAAACTGGGGCTTTTGTTGTTTTGAAATGGCAGATTATGACATACCTTCTGATATCGGCATCATCATCGGCTGCAATTCGGGTTGATGACTGGCAATCCAACTGGGGCAAAGATAAGTTCCCGGAGATGGCAAGGGCTTCTGTAATAATGTCCTTCCTGGCATTCGTGGCTTTAGCCTTGAGCTCTCTCATCTCTGGATATACCCTGTGCAATTCCAAATCTTTGTGACAAAGAGCTCCTCCTAGGGTCTATATACCTGTTAAAATTTACGAATCATAACGAATTTCTTTTTAAGGGAAAGGTAATGTGTATATATGTATCCTTCATGTTGTGCATAAAGAAAAATGTTTGGGTTACATAATTACGTTGGGACCGTGTAGGAATCACATATTCTGTTGAACAATCGTCACCATTCAATCTGATAGACTTGTGCAGATAATTTAGTTTAAATGATTGGGATTAATGTTGCAAGTAGCTGTTGTTTCTGATACTGTTTCATACATTTTCATCACAGACTGGCTTATTAACAGGCCGCCAAAATGTTCAAGTAGTAAACTAGCATATCAAATGTGTGGTTTGGTGGCACTAGCATATGCTTCTACTGTTGCTTCTTTTTTTTTTTTCTTTTTTCTTTTTTCATGCTTAGGATTTGGTGTACAAGTCTGAGACTCTGAGTGCACCAAGTCGTCGAAGCAGGATTAGTGGCAGTGTCGCATTTGCATCAGAAAGAACCAGAATGATGGCTAGATTGTTTTAGTGTTGAATGAAACATTCTAATGGGTACAATTTGGATTTTGAGTTTTGACAAGGTTGATTTATGCTTCTATTGTAGGTCTTTTTGCGATCTTATGGTCAATTGTTATATCATTGACATTGGCTTGACAAAATATGATATTCACATTATTGCCCCTAACCGAGTTTGAGCCTTAGGCTCAATCGTTATATCATTGACATTGGCTTGACAAAATATGATATTCACATTATTGCCCTTGACCGGGTTTGAGCCCTCCATCACTCCTTTGGAGATGAGAGATCATACCGTCTTGACTAATTTTCATGGACAAGATAATGATTTAATTGGTACTTAGTAACCCTAAGACTCTGTTTTTGCTTGCCTTCGAAGCTTAAATCAAACTTGCCCATGGTAGAGTTTAATTGCTTTAGAAATTGGTAGTGGAATGGTGATGTGTGTCGCTATTATCTATCCATGAGTGGGCTTCTCTCATCCAAGAGTTGCTTAAGTATTGAAGTTTTGAAGGAAAATTTTCCTTTTTCCCGAGAAAATGCACCGAAACAAATACCCAGTTAGTCGATGATCCCACATCTCTTTAAATTTTCCCAAAGTTATTTTTACAGTCATTGATTTCATGTTCCAGTTTTACAATAACCATAGAAAAGAATGCCCTTTAAAAATTTTCCTCAATAATAGAGAGTCAATAATTAAATGACTTGAATTTTTTTTTTTTAATTAAATGACCATAGGAGTAACAAATTACCTGTCAGTGTCATGTGTAACAAACAGTCTCTCTTTAGTGATTCGGTCAAGTTTGTTGAAGCCTTTCTTTACAGAGAAAGGCAATAATGACCTTCTGATGATCAGCATCTTTCCTCTTTTATGTAAGGACTTTCTGGTCATTAAGAAAGATAGTAACAGACAACCTGAAAAAGATAGTGAAAGACAACCTTATTTTTCCTCCTCCATAAAAGAAGATCCCAAAGAAAGCATTCTGCTCGATATCATATCTGGGCTATTCTCATTAATTAGAGAAACATACTACTACCTTTAAATTGCTTCATATTCTATCCTGCAAAAATATATAAAATATGCACAATAGAATAATTCTTTCATAAAACTTATATTTGGATTTTATCAGTTTAAGAATAAAAATATTAGTAATTGGTAATATTTTTATTGGATATAATTATATATTGTCTTTCAATGATTTTTGTATTTTAAAAGTGATTCATTAAATTACACACAATATAATAATAATAGGGTAAATTGTACTCGCACGTCCTGATATTTGGGTCAACGTTGCTTAGCGGCTGGTCAACGCACTTGTTTACTAATCACTCCCCAAGGTTTTAAAAATCATATTTATCCCTGATTATTTAATTTTAATTCACTACCTATCAACCCTGTTAATTGAGAAAAAAAAAAACCCTCACTCACCTAAATAAATAAAAATAAAAAATAAAAAAACAAGGTGAATTATAGAAAGTCTTGCAATGAGTATTCTATACAAATAAAAATAAAATAAAATAAAATAAAGAAGAAAAAAAAAAGGAAAAAAGATTGGGTGTGTTTGTTTATGAATGTTGAGGTGGTAATGGCTAGTTTATAGGGTTATATTAATAATTTATATATTTTTTTATTATTTGTTGATAAAGTCAAAGGGTTAAATGGTTATTTTTTTGAGCGTCAGAGGTTTAGAGGAGATGTGTATGGTGCCAATGTAAACATATGTGTTGACAGGCCGCTGAGTGACATTGACCGAAAACTCAAAAAATATAAGTGCAATTTACCCATTATAATAATAAAATTCATACGAGCAATAAAAAAGAAGGGTAAAATGTTAAAAGAAAATCCACCTCTCCCCTGTATACAGACAGAATGTTGTGCAAATGCATTTCGATCAAAAAACCTCTATATTTCATTTTCTCAATTTAAAGAATGAAATATCTATCTAAAATGTGCTTAAAACAAAACAAAAATAGAAAAACAAGAGAGAGATTATTAAGGGTGTTTTGAGATTTCTATAAATTTTTTAGTGTCAACAAATATTAGAAGATAATTTATACGTATTTTCAAATATAAAAAATTCATGTGCACATACTAAACTACATGAATGTTTTTTTTTTTTCACATTTTTTTATATAACATGATTTATTTATTTATTTTACTCTTAAAAGAGTAAAAAGAGATACAAGTGTTAAATACATGCTTACAATATCATTCATTAATCACCGACCTCCTTCAAAATCTTCTCTTCCATTTTGATTTTCTCAAGTGCCCCACACACACACTCACACACACCCACACGAGCCACACGTGTAAAAGCTCACACGCAAAAAATGGAAAACGAAGAAAATGGCATCTCTATCAGTCATGGATTCCCCAACCATGAGACATTTCCGGCATCTCCTCCGATCAAAGCAATGGGAGCTCAATTTCAGGCTAATCATCCGTTGACGGAGATGGTGGTGAACCCGACTGTCCGGGAAGAGCCGATGCCAGACACGAGTAAGTATCCGGGAACCGGAGACGTGGAAGAAGGTGGCGATGACCGTGAGCGGCGAATTCAGTTGTTGACGCAGTCGCTGGAGAGAGCGAAGATGGTGAAACCGTCAGCCTGGGAAGAGACGATGTCAGAGATGAGGAAGTATCCGGGAACGGGAGACGGTTTCAGCATGGGAACCGTGGAAGAAGGTGCCGGTGCCGGTGGCCGTGAGCGGCGGGTGAGGGAGCCATTGTCGATAATTAGGAGGATGAAGGGAGATTTGATGATATTTTGGGAAATGGAGAGAGAGAGGAAGGTGAAGGGGACCGCCTTCCTACTTAGGGTTTTGGAGTTAGGGCTTTGCTGGGGTTCGTTGTTAGTGATGATGGCCGATGACTGGAATCACGGTCGGGTTCTTCATTCCTCTCCCCGATTCAAAGAGTTCAGGTTCCTCACTTCCTTTTCACACACATATATACACTATATAGTGTGTATATATACCTGCCAAACCAAATTACTTTTTGGTGATTTTTCTTTGGACTGTGAACGCAAAACACGGATATGTTTAGTACGAGTAACTTTGTTTCGATTTAAATAGTATGGAACTGTTTATTCATTCGGTTTCAAAACGCAGTAACAAGATGAACAGTATCCCAAAAAAAAAAAAAATTAATGACCTTTTTAATTACCCATTTTATTGTTCAAACTTGAAACATTTTTTAACTAAACATGTTATTTTTTTGTATTTTGCTTTTAAAAATCTTGCAACAAATTAAACTTTTCTAAACATACTTGTGATTACTATTGATCCCACTCCAAAGTAGATACTATTAAACACACTCCAAAGTAGACATGTTTCTTCTGTTATGGGTAAAAAAATAAAAATAACTAGGATGATGCCATGAACTTGGTGTTTTGGAGGGCTACACACTATCTGAGTGCGCTTGAGGTGCTAAGTGAGTGTGACAATGAATGGAGTTGTGATAAAGAGTCCAAATCCAACTAAATTTACATTAATAGAGGATGATTTGACTACTTATCATTATTCTTTAGAATAGTAGTAAGGTCAACTCCTTAACCATCTCACTAAACTGTGCATTGTGGAATGCAAGTCAATGGAGAATTTTTTTTTTTTTTTTTTTTTGTTATGTGTATTTACAGTAACAGTTGCAATCAATTTTTGTTATTGATTGATGTTGCAATTATTGAAATAAACATTTCTTATTCAATAATGATAAAAAGTTTTTGTTAGACGCTATTTATTATGGTCGAACAAAAATCGTTATTTTTTTCTTTTCTTTTGGTAGCATTAGATGAATATAATAGAGTTGTGATATATGCAGGAACTGGTACAAGATCAAGATGGTGACTTTGATAGGGTTGGTATATTCAGTTGTTCAAGTTTGTTGTTTTCGGGGCTGCGGCGAATACGTTTTTTCCCCACCCCATCGTTTTTTCTCTTTCTGCGCGGATCAGGCAAGTCTTATGGTGTGCCCTAACCTAATAATTTATCGTGACCTAATCTATGGCCTTTGTCTGCTTTTCTCTCTTTTGGGGCCTTTTTGGACTGTTTGGGGTCCGGACGCCGGAGAAGATGTTGGATGAGCCGGGTCATGTCATTGGCATTGCTGGTTAATGAAAATTCACACAATCAAATTGTCATACCATTTAATAAAAACCACTTTCCACAAATTGATTTGTTGGATTTTCAGTTGGTATGTCTGGCTCATCCTATACCTCCTCCGCAAGCTCTTGGGTAAAAAAAAAATTTCACTTGTCACCCCCACTCACCCCCTATAATGGTTGTGCATTAACCATTGATGTTAAACTTGGGACTCACATTATCACATCTACTTAGTACTGAGAATTGCTTTTACCATCCCACACACATGTAAATATATGGGGCTTGGGATTTGTTCCCACATGGACGCTTCCTAAAGAGTCTTTTTTTACTACTTTTTGTTCTAAGGTTGCTAGTATCAGTTAGTTCTTTTTTTTTTTTTTTTTTAAAAAAAAAAAATTCTCATAACCTACAGAACAAAACTTAGCTTGAATGAAATGAATAACACTCTATTTTTCTTGTTATGGGCATTCCATGTTAAAAATATAGTATCAGAAATCTAAAATTTTCATTACTTATCAAAAAAAAAAAAAAAATGAAATCTAAAATTTTCACCCATTTAACAGTCAATTGAAAATGATTTCAATTTGCAGACACTGTTTTGCTGCGGATATTATGTGGCTCACTGCATTTATATAATCCATATATAAGATTTTTACAGGAATTTGACATATAACAAGGTTTCAAATTTTTTTGGTAAAAAATTTCCAATTTTTGGTATTGCCCCATCTTTAAACAAAGTCCCTAAAACTTCAGATTCCATACAAAGTAGGAATTCATTTTTAGGTATTCAAGATGATTAGTAATTGTTTGGTGGTTGTGGAATTTCTTGCAACGTACACCAGCTAGAAGCACACTAGGTTGGCACCATATGTACTTTGTTGGTTAATTTCAAGGATATCCTCTTGGTCCTCAAAACTTCTTGTACATATATATGTGTACACACAAACAGATGAGAAATTTCTGAAGGCAAAATGAACACATTGAATTAATCAGCTAGAGTGTTTTTTTTCTAATATTATAAAATTTTGTTTATTATTGTTCAGGTGCTTAAATGTATGTTTCCTTTTCGTTTTCTATTTTACTTTCTTTATTTGCTAACTAGTCCTAGTTCTAGCATATATGTTGTGCTTGTTTGAATTTTACTTTCCGTTTTATGCTGATATATTTAGTGGAAAACTGGGGTTTTTGTTTTTTGAAATCGCAGTATATGACATACCTTCTGATATGGGCATCATCATCGGCTGCCTTTCGTGTTGATTTCTCGGGGCTGGCAAGTGTATCTGTAATGTTATCCTTCATGGCATTCGTGGCTTTTGCCATCAGTTATCTCGTCTCTATATATACCCTGTGCAGTTCCAAATCTAGGTAACAAAGACCTCAACCTAGGGTGTATATACCTGTCATCTTTACGAATCATAACGAATTTCTTTAAAGGGAAAGGTAATATTTATCTACATACTCGTCAAGCTATGTAGAAAGAAACATGTTTGGGTTACATTTGGAACATATGTTGAAGTCTCACATATGCTGTTGAACAATCATTGCTATTCAATCAGATAGACTTTTGCTGAGAATTTATTTTACATGATTGGGAATATTGTTACAAGTAGCTGTTATTTATGATACTGTTTCATACATTTTCATTACTGCCTGGTTTATTGACAGGCTGCCAAAATATTTTAAGTCCTTGTGGACATTTCAAATATTTGTGGGACAAAAAAAAATAGCATATGCTTCGACAGTTCTACTGTTGCTTTTTCCATACTGAAGCATCCCATTTTGACAAAACAAAGGTGATAATTTCAGTCTAGATAGCAGTGCTGAGAGTTTTTAGGAACCCCCTCCCGGAAAGTTGAAGCAAACGCACATTCTCACAGCGTTCCTAACAGGGTTCTAACTATCAACCACCCATTTGAAGAGTAGAGATCATACCATCTGAACTAATGTCCGTTGACAAGATGATGATTTAGTTGGTACTTAGTAACGGTAAGATGGCATTTTTACAATCATCTAAAGACTGCATTTTACATGAAAAGGTCACTAGTGAGTCATATTTTGGAAGTTGCCTTTATTAAAAAAAATTAGTGTGATGTTGCAGTGTCCCTAATAGCCCAGATTTAACTGTGATGGTGTATAGTTTCTTAGGCTCCCCATAAAGCTAGCCTTGGATTTATTTGACACTCTAAACCCTTTTATTTATTTTTTATTTTTTATCCTGGCAGACACTCTAATCCCTTAAAAGACCACAAATAATGGCAGAAAAAAGGTTGAGCTTGTTCTGAAGTTTTATGCAATTCCAGTCCATTTCTAGAAGGCATGGGGTGATCACTCGAACAGGGAAGACTTGGATGATTGGATCAGGATGTGGTCACTGGAACAAAATTTGCATTTTTATCAAGACGTCAACAGTATGTTTAGTAGTGTCTATTGATGATTGAACAGTATACTTAGTAGTGTCTATTGATTATTGAATCACATAATCGTGTAAATAGTCTCTTCGCATGCTGGAAAAGACCCACATTGGCGGGAATGTTTGAATTGTAGAAATAGCCTTTTCTGCATGCAGGTTAGGCCCACATTGACGGGAATTCATGGAATGGGCTAGCCCTTTTTATTGATTGTTGAAGTTGCCCAAGACATTTGACATTTGAGTGATAATTTTCTTGACATTTTGAACACCTTTTTCATATGCTACTATTAAAAAATTCAATCATTTTAGCCATTTAATTACGCACTTCCTTTCCTATTCTTTTGTCCTTCTTAAGAAATGACAGCATTTTTTTTTTTTTTTTGTCTTCCCTAAAAGGGTTTGGATACAAATGATACTATTAGTTACAAGAGAGAAGAAATAAAATGAAAGAATATCAATAATTTGTGTTTGGATAGATAAGAGAGAAACTAAATGAAATGATAATATTCTTATTTGAATAAGATATAGGAGAGAAAAGAAAAGAATAGATATAACAATCAAATTATTATAATACTCTTTTAATTAGATTGGACATGAGTGAAATAACAATTTTATCCTTCTAATTATTTGGACAGTATCGAGATTATAAAAATACTTGTTTAACCCACTATCATTTTTCCTTTTATGTTTTCATTTTTACACGAATAACATTTGAAAGATAATGAGTCATTTTTCCTTTTATGTTTTCATTTTTAGACGAATAACATTTGAAAGATAATAAGGTATGGCTATTCCTCCCCGTTCTTCTTTTCTATCGATTAAAATAATCCAAACACTTTTCTCCTTATCTTTCGTTTTTTTTTTTTTTTTTTTCTTTCCATATCCCTCCAAATCATCCCATCCAAGGAAGCCTAAACCTTTATACGGTATTGAGGAAACAATATTTGAAAATGACTCCGAAAACATGTTAGAAAATGATTCATACCCAATATTTACCCAATTCAGAGTCTTGCAACTCACAAATTTCTACCATGTCAAATGCATTTTTTTTCTTCTTTTATATGTAAAATCAATCATCAAAAAAGAACTTTCATGAATTAATTGAAACTTGATTTGTAATTTTTTAATTTGATTTTAAAAAATATATATAAATCAAAACAAACTTTTGATTATCGAATTATCTCCAAACTAATGTTCATCATCATTTTACTATACCCTTATCGCTGTCAATTAACCATCAAAAGTTCTATTTGATTTGATTATTTATTTATTTATTTATTTTTTTTTTTCATGCAAGTTCTCAAATTTATTGGCTCATGTTTAAAAATTGAGAAATTCTTTTCAAAGTGAAAAATGTAACCGATTAATCATTGCAAATGGGAGGTGACAAACGAAATTTGAAAAGGTGGCATAATGTGAATTTTCATAAAATTTTGGAGAATGATAAGTGTTGTCACCACTAGACTAATTTAGTCATGAAATTATGCCGACCCTCTTTTATGAAAATTTTCTATAAAAAAAATATTTGTATAAAATTATTACAAGAGGTGCTTTTCAATAGCTTTAAAATCATTAGTACCGAAAATAGCTTTTCCATTTGAATGTAAAATTATGTGCTTCCAACATTTTTAATTCCACAAATGATATAAGCTTGTCATTTTTTTAAATATAATGTAATGATATATGTTTTAAATTCGGAGGACCAAAAAAAAAAAAAAAAAAAAAAAAAAAACGTATCTATCATTTTCTTGCGTAAATATATTTGGAAAAGAAACATCATTCCCCCACATGCGCGTCCAAAACATCCAACCTCTTCTGCATACACGCTCGTATATGTGTACGCGCGCGCACAAGATGTGTAATTTTAGAGAGGTCACAGAGGTGTTAGAAGTAAAGGATCAGAAGCCACTGATTCTTTGCTACCTGTATGTCTCTCTGTCTCTCTCTCTCTCTCTCTCTGTCTCTCTCTCTCTCTATCTAGATATATATATCTCTATAGGGTTTCTTGCGTTTCTTGTTTACTTTTTTTTTTCACAAGCTTGACAAAAAATTGGGTCGATGAGTTAGTTTTTTTGTAGTTAAGAAATTGCAAATTTTGCTGGGATTGTTGTATGTAGTTGGGAAACTTTGTGACTCATATCTACCAGAAAATTGTTCATTTATTCGATCTCGTGAGTAGTGATACAAAGTGATGACATGGTATATTGATATGCACAAGTCATGTACTTTTCATGTTTGATTTAATTTCTCTTTCACTATTTTCCACCATTTTGTTTTCTAATTGGTTTGAGTAAAATCCTAAAATTTTCATAAATCAATCTCCTAGACCAAGCATAAAAAAGGGCTAGCCGAGTGCACTTGGCTCCGCCATTGCAAATTTTGAGAGGGTCAGATGTACGCAGCGTTCTGTTTCCGATTTCAAAGCCACGACCTCTAAGCATCTGACTACGTTTTTTATCCCTTGAATGTGATTTGGTAGGATTTAAGAAGAAAATGAGCATCTAATAGATATACACATGTGATCAAAGACATCTAGTGATTAAAGCTAGAACAAGTCTATTGGAGCATATAAGTGATGAAGACTTGTTTGATGACATTTAAGGTCTTACATGCATACCACAGTGAGCATATAAACTTGATGTTTCTACCTGTGGAGTATGTTACTAAGAGGATTGACTCTAGAGAGAAATAGCCAGCAAAGAGAGAATATATATTAAGTTCATTAATAAATGTATAAATCAAGGTCTTTGGAGATATCTGTATCTCTTCTTTTAGATCTCAAAAGTTACTTGGATAGCTTAAACAATACATTTAAAGCTAATTTTAGCTAGACTTGATTCACCAAGCAAGCCAATCCCAATGAGATTCGACTGCTGTTTTAATCCTTTAAAATAAAATTTCGCATCATTTTAAGGAGATGAAAGTCTTAAAATTCCCAACAATGATATATATTATTCAAACTCTTGGGAAATATTCTTCCACGAGCATTTAGTATAGTAGTTCCAGGCTAGGTGATTAATGCTTCGGAGGTCACAGCAAAGATGACTCCATTCAAGGCCATTTGTATTGGCTGAGAATGAAAATAGATGTTGCAAATGTCACGATTTGTATCATATCTTAAATTGGATAAAATGCAATATCATCTAGGACTAAACATAATGCTATATTAACTCAGTAACCAATAATGAAAGTATATGGCAATGACATGATAAAAAGGAAATTTCTCATTAATTATATAGGTTCATCTTAACTACATGTTTATAAATGAGTTGCATAATGTTATCAGACGTACCTTCAATAAGAGAAGTTACTTTATTTATTAATCAACTTTCATACAAGCTCACTGCAGTCAGATGAGTTTTCTTCCACATAGTTCAAATAAATATAATCTAACTGAAGCGATATAATTTCCATGTTTTATTCTTTTCTAAGATCACGGATTGGTATCTTAGTAAGTTTATAGCTCCGTAGCTTCGATGAATCAATCTTTACCATTTAGGCACCTTCCTTGGTGTCGAAGCACCAACAGTAGTAATCAGACCTTGAGATCTCCAACAATTCATCTGGGGTCATCCTCTCAAGCTCATTTTGCCTCCATTGTGCAAAATTATTTCGGTTTTGTGGGTCGGTAGCAAGTGGGTAGTCCTCGTTTTTATGAACTTGGAATTTCATTCGCTTGTAAAGCCTCATTGTTGCAACACAGTCCTCATAAGGATCTTGGATGCCTGTTTGAATCTCATACCTGCAAAATAGAAGCTTCAAAGCTCTCTCAGGTATTAATTAAAAACTTTACACCAAAAATACAACCGCGCATGAATAGTAATTACCCGAGGTATGTTCTTGTTAGGTACTTCAGTGAATTGCTTATCTTGCTTGATTTCATCAAAGGAGGATATTGTGCCGTATCCCTGTAGGCAAATTCATGGAATATACATCTGAGATTCATAGATTTATTAACATGTTCATCATTGACTTTTGTATCTTTGCAGTTTACTATTTGAATTGTACAGCATTTGTTCCATTCTTTTGAGCTGTAATGTTAAAAATTTCAAAGCCTTGTTATGATTTTACATGCTTGGTTGATGAGAATACCTGATCATTATTGGCGGGAACTCCATTTCTAGACTTCTAAGGTTGTGATCCAATCCATGACCAACAAGGATCCTTGCTCTTCCTCCTCTTGACCGAACCTTCCATATTGGTTCCCCATTGCATAAAAAATTCTGAATCTTCTGCTGCACTAGCCTCACTGGCATTGCGTTTTTTAAAAGATCTGGTCGTATGCCCGTTGTTTCATACCTAAAAAGGATTTCAAATTTTTTTATTGTTGTTTGTCATTTAATTGCATTAAATCACTCAAATTTTTTGCACACTAATCAGTACCTATAATTTGTGACTGGAAGTTGAGGTTTCACATAGGTATGAAAGATAACATTTTCATATTCATCAATGAGGCAAACCCTTCCACAAAGGTCTAGGGTACCATCACTGCCACCACCAACCATTTTGCAAGCAAGTGCAACTACTCTTGTTCTACCATTATCAATCTTCAAGTCATCGTGAATGCCTAAGTTAGGCAGGCGATAAAGCATATCCTTGAAAAAGGTAATCGCAAGGGACATGATGTTTATAGTTAGATTCAACTAAAAGAAAATTGATATTGCACACTAAAATAACGTGTCTTTTGATTACCATAGTGTTTACTCGTGAGAGTTGGCATGTCTCTCGGTGAACCCTTAGTGCATTACGGCTGTTAAGGACCATTAGGCAGAGGTCACATCCTTGATCTTTGAATATCCTTTCGCATTCTGCCTTTGGCAACAGCCCTGGGGAAGAAAGTTATATATTCTTATATATGACTAAGCCTCAGAGGACACAAAAATGGTGCATTTCTTGTTGTGAGATTGAAATTTACCTATTAGATGCTCCCTCAGAGACTCAAATGATCGGCAACGTTTCCCACAAATTCCACACATGGGTTCGTGAAATGAGTGATATGAATTCCTCATGTGTTCCACAAGGTGCTCCATTTTGTTGAACTGCCTATAGCATGCCGCACACTTGTTCCTGGTCATGAAATTAAGTTAGATGATCATGCATCAATTAGCAATAATTTTAATTTTGTATAAAACATATGAGTAGAAACTACATTAAACATTCTTATACAAAGAATTTGCAAGAGAGACTACTATGCACCTAAGAGTCCCTGAAGACTCGATTCCATTGTCCATCATGGTAGTGAATAAGGAGCCTTACAAAGGAGATTCTTGAGGTACTTTGAAGAATAAGGAGAGGATATGAATGTATTTATAATGTTGGGGGGCCAAAGACTTTCACCAACTTGAGCTTAAGAAATGATTCCTCAAAGCCATTGTCATACGATTTTAAGTCTTCATACATCCACTTAACATAAGATATTCGTAGCGATCCAAATTTTCTGGACCATATTTTTTTTTTTGACTCGAATATTTCTCTTTTTACAATGTCTCCTCGCCCCCTCCCCTTCCCCGGCCCCTTCTCATTTCAATGGTTGTTACTCAATTTGCAGTGAAGGTGTGGATTGCCAACTTGCATGTCACGTCTCTCTATTTAGAAAATTTTATATTTCCAACAATTATCTGCTTAGTCATTCCCCTAAATGAGCACCTTGTGTACTTTATATATTTGAATGCATCAGTTTTAATGTTCATCAATCTGAAGATTATAGAACCATAACAGATAGGTCATTGTTGTGAAAAGAAACTCAAGTGTTCGCAATTCATCAGTTGGAGATTCCTATTATACTATATGTTTTGTCATACCAAAGCCTTCTTAATGTTTTTGAACTTTAATTTACTTTACACCTCTTGGCCAGTTACCAATAGATCTTTCAGGAAGTCATAAGTCATTCGGTTTTAGCATAAAGTACATAGGACTTGAAAGGCTGATTTAAGTTCAGTGACCAAGAACTGAGTTATATTTGTTCCTTAATGATTATGGAAAAAACTTGCACCATTTAAAGCAAAAACCTTTAAACTTGATATTTAAGAATTTATCCTGTTTATATAAGTTGTGGAACATGTCATCATCCATTGGATAAAAAACAATAAATGCAGCAGTGATTGGTTGGATAATGCACATCAGGAGCAGCTAGCTATAAGATGAATGTTCAAATTGTAAATTCATGATACTGAGGTTTAATAATCTATGTATATACAATTTGGCAAAAGCAAATGAGGCTATGCGGACAAGATGAGCTATTTCAACCTGAGTATATAGTGGCAGTTTTTTTTTTTTTTCCTTTACATTGTATGCGAGCTAGAGAGATAGAGAGAGGTTTGACTTTTAAGATATGGGGAATGTCAGCAAGACAATCTTTTGACTATGGGGGGTCCATCAGATTCTATTGAGATAGATCTGACAGATACATGAGAATACTCCCAATAATTCTGGTCCACCACCATTGCATGGTTCAGTTTGCATGCTCCCTTGTTGTGGAATGGTGTGTAAAATAACGAGTCAACTGGCTCTTAGATGGCACCCTGATGTTGCCCTGTTGTGAATGAGAACAATCAGTATTGCTAACACACTGCTACCACTGCTGCTGTGATTTTAGCATTTATGACGTTTATGAGGCATTGTTTTAGTTCTTGTTATTGATGTGGCATGAGAAACTTTTTGCAACTTTCCGTCGAACCATTAGAAGTGTGATGCATGTTATTCCTTTTTTCTTTAGAAACCTAAGGACCTAAGGCGCATGTGTATTATTAAGTATGATGTGTATTATTCTTTTTTTCTTTAGAAACCTATGGTGCACATGTATTATTCTTTGTAGTGAAAGACCCTCGTATTTGCTTTAATTGGGCAAACAAAATATACACAAGGGGTGAGAGGATTCTCTGTCCAATGATGAATGTCCAAATTTGGATACTATGTATGCAGAGTCAAAGATTCAGGGAAATGAGACTTGAACCACAGATTCAACTGCTTTTCCCACCATCTATTTCTCAATTCAAACAAGCTCTTAAAAGTAAAAGGTAAGGTATTTGATTCTCTACTGTATCCCGACTTGTGGTTTGAGACTTCCTTACCAAAAAAAAAAGCTTGTGGTGTTTAGACTTGCTTATTCATCCCACCCTGTAGGGGACCCTAGTTCTTCCCTGCAGAGACCTACAACAGTGCAATCACCTTCATCCTTGCTTGATGACTACACACACAAGCACACATGTACATACAAATTCTTAGAACAAACTCTGTATTTAATTTCCGAAAAATGAATTCTTAGTGCAAACTGCAGTTGAAGTTATCACAGTAAGTTTAACTGTAAAATTAACTCTCATGTTCAGTAAGCACCACATGTAGTTCTGATCATGCCCACCATAGCATCTCACTAAGCATAATAACGTGATGAAACATTTGAATGTTAGGGCTCATCTGATAGCCAATACAGGAGGAAAGCATGTCTTGCCTTCACTATTGAAACCCATGCAATGTATATATATAATCAAATAATCAAATATAAATATATAGAAGCTGCCTCTCAATCTTAGTTATGGTGACAGTCATCTCTCTTTCAAGGACACATAAATGCATTACAGAACTCAAGATGAGGTTTTGGAGTCTAGGATTCAAAACTGTGGGCATATTCCTATTGCAAGTCATATACGGCACATGACATTGAAAACGTAATCATAGTTTTCTATCACATCATTTGGTTGGATGCAACATAGTGTATTTATTATCTTCTGCTCTCTTGCAGCTTGTGAAGAAACATGCCCAGAGAACACCATGGTGACAGTACTGTGAAAGCAGCAGCATCTCAATGTAGGCACGAAGCAATGGGATACTAAGATAGTGGTCCACCCAATTGGCTACAAAGCGGTCTGCTTCTCTTTTCCACCTCCATCATTTTTTTCTTTTTTGTTTTTTTGTTTTTTTGTTTGTTTGTTTGTTTTTTGGTAAATACTAGCGTGCACACACCCACAAATGCCTACTATGAGGCTCAAACTCCTCAAGTTCCCTTTGAGGGAGGAGAGGTTATACCAGCTGGGCTATTCGCCCGGTGGTCACGTCCATCCTTCAAGGCTTGAAGTGAGGAAAAAGAAGAAACTCATGTTTGATTCCTTTCAAAGTTAATCATGCATGGATATATAATCATGAGGCCATCATCTCATGGTCAAACTTTGACAATCCCTTTCATGATTTTTCATCAGATAGAATAACAAATTTTCAACACTAAATGCTTTCTGACCAAGAGAGATAAAAATGAAACTCTTTTTACTATTAGAGCTTGCAAGGCATATGATAATGGTTTATCATATATATATATAGTGACCTTCAGATAAAAAAAATGGGAATGGCTTTGTTGATTTTTTCAAGTATAGGCTCCATTACCAATAATTATCATAATAATTAAGCCCCCTCTGGTGGAGTATGTTGTAGCCTTCCACCCCTGTATATGCTCTTTAAGTAAATTCAGCAAGTTGAATTTTTACTTTTGAGAAATGTCAAAATGGGCAATGATACTCTAGGGTGGCAAAACAATGCCACTAAAATGTCAAAACTGAGAGGGATGGACCAGATGCAAACTTAACCCTTTGCATTATATGGATAAAGTAGAAAATGAAACAGTGACTGTTCTCAAGACTCAACTCGTATTCTCATCTTTGTGGTCAAACATTACCAGCGCTTCATGGTCCAACAGTCCTTAGTTGCATGGAAAATGATTCCTAGGTCCAATGTTCCAACTGAAATGGTGGGCCGAATGCATCCCAGCCATGGGATGCATTCCGGGATGCATTGACCTAGGACCCTGTAAAGGGAACATTAGTCGATAACAGAATTGTGACTGTTCTAAAAGACTCAACTCGTATTCCCATGTTTGACCGTCAAAAATTACCAACGCTTCATGGTCCAATGGTCCTTAGTTGTATGGAAAATGATTCATAGGTCCAACATTCGAACCGAAATGGTGGGCCGAATGCATCACAGCCATGAGATGCACTAAAGTGGGACCATGTAAGGGGAACATTAGTCTACTTTTCGTTCATTCTGTTACAACTGTTTGCAATTCATGATAATCTGACCATATGTTGTTTTTATGGAACTTTGAACTCATTTGATGTAATAATAACTAGTAATTTTTTAAAAAAATATGAAATTAGGGGTCCAAATAAAAGAGAATGCTTTAGTATATGCTATAACGGGGTTACAAACAATTTTCTTATGTCTTCACTGCTTTGAAGTGCTTCCTCCTTCAAAGACGCAAAATAAATAGAAGAACAAATTGTTTCACATAATTATAATTGATGGACTAGCAATATCAATAGCCAGATATACTATCTAAGCTTGTTATGCAGACTCTTGCATGACTGTTGAGCTTAATCTTATGTTAATTATATGGTCCAGGTGGTTTGCACAGAAGGACCTAACAGAATCAGAGAATCAATTGCTACGGGTGCATCATTTGATCACGAGGAGGGTGGAAACTTGCATCCAGCAAAGAAGCGTCTGGATCCTCTGCTGTAGCGTGCTGTAATTTTTCAACACAATTAAATCTGTTTTGAAAAAGATTTGATTGTGTTGAGCGTGTCTACAGCATGGTGCAGTGCACTGCAGAGGAGGGGGCATGCACTTCATCTAATTGTTTTGCTGATTTCTCAGGTTCACTTTCTAGCATTCTTCGAGTTCTTTGAAAGGTCTATGTTTTTGTCATCAAACTATATATATGTATATATTTTTTTATGATTATACTAGCTTTGAGACTAAAAAGTATCTATAATGAAACACGATAAAGAACTTGGCCCCAAAAAATGAAAATGCACTTCAAGGATAACCCGAAACTCCACTCAAAAGAACTTATATATCTACACAATCCAGTTCATGTTATCAGATGATATATATATATATATATAATGCAGAGAGCCTCATCTTTGCAGGGATAACCTCTAAGCATGTTCCTACAGCTTCCAATGCAGAATCGTAGCGACATCTTTTACCTACCAAAGAAAAAAAAGAAGAAAAAGAAAAATGCAGTGGTAAAAATAGTTGAGAAACTTCATAATTTACATTCATAATAGTAAATACAACATACTGCAGTTTTGGTGATGTCCATTAGATTATTGCTTACTAAGGCAAATACAACATAATGCAGTTTAGGAAACCAAAAAAAATAATGGTTAGGGAACAAAGATGGGGTCACTGATAATAGTTGATGTTCATACGGAGAGAGATGGAGAAAGGCCGAATTCAAGCCCCCAGAGCTCGAAAGATCCTTTAACAAAGTCGTAGTAACCGCCTTTCAGTCCTAGGGTTTTGTTCACCAAGCCCTGTCTCACAAATGGATAGGACAGTAGGTTTCCAAGTGATACATTCACTGCTTCCTGCATTACATTTTACATATAAACAATAAGAAACATAACATATAGTTTGTTCATATAAATATTGATCATGTATGTATACATATGTTTTGATACAATTGATCATATTTTCTATCAAGGTAACTAAAATTGACCTTAAATTAGTACACTACACATTTCATGATTATCTTGAAAGATCAGTAAAATTAAGCGCATTTATCAAGAAGAAAGAATTTTAACGAAGCAGCATGGGAAAATAATTCAATGGACCAATAGATTCTAGCTTAGATTGTATATCCATGAAGGGAGGTTGAGTGTTCGAGTCTCGGAAGGAACAAAATATTGGCAATAAGCAGGGGAAAGGTTGGAATTAACCTTTTCACAGTATCCACATTGATCTCCCAAAGGTGCATCACCATGCTCAGATCTCACCTTAGCCTTGGCAGGTAAACAGATTTTGACCCAGTCTTCTATGAATTCACTGCATATTTCAAGTACATGAGATGAAGGAATTATGAGAAGTTTGACATTTTGATTTCACTCCTTTTAGAATGCATTTAAATACTCGGTCAATAATTGTCTAGATTTGGAAAATATTGTCTAGATTTGGGACTTGGAGAAACCAAAATGGTGATAGAAAATGCATATGGGTCTTAGATCTATAATTCTATTTCATATTCCTTACACTAAAACTGAAATTGAAAATGAAAATAATTTTGAAATCGTTTTTTTTAGACCGATGTGAATAGCCGGGAAGGGTTTTTACACTTGAGTTATCCGTTACATCAAAGTGATAAAAATCCCTTTAGCTATACACATTAGCTTGAGATTGGTTTAAATAGCATTGCTAGGTGTTGTAAGGTTATGTCCTTACGTCGCGGTGGATCCGTCATCTGGGATTGACATGAGCCCCTTTATCCCACCACAACAGCTGTGCCCAATTACCACAATGTACTCCACCTATGAAAAATTCGACACCTTATTAGATTCCAAAAATTCATCCCAAATTTCATCATTATAATAAAAAGTAATGATAGAACATTCAAAAGTCGGTCAAAATAGGGGAATGGGCCCACCACTAATGTTATAGTGACCCATGCCCATCACTCACGTCACGTTATTCAGAGTTGTCTGACTTTCGGCTCATAAATGATTTTCCTAACTTCAATAGTACCTTAGTATATGTATATCAATCTATAACAATGAGACACTGATGAGTTCACCTTGAGATGGAGAACAGCATATTCAACTGCAGCCCCTATTCCAGAGTATCTAAGCTGTTGCAGCAAAGACACCCAAATCAAACCCAAAAAACAAAGTAATGAATAGATCAATCTTCAGGATAGATTTACAAATAGAGCTAGAACTTGAACTTTCACTTGATTTCAAAAAAATGATCAATTTTGGCAGATCAAGAATAGGTAAAAAGAGTGACCTGATCATATGCAGGGACCATGTTAGCAACGTTTCGGACCACAAAAGCCTCCCCCGGCTGGAAATCCAATATGTGGGAGGGACAAACCCGGGAGTCCGAGCACGCAAACACCATAAACTGCCACATTTAACTATGTCAATATCCTCTTGAATAGACACGTTACTTATTATGAAAAATGACAGAAGTCTTAATCGGTTTTTGTTATGGACTGATGTGACAATCATTGACATGAACACTTAAATTTATGATGAATGTAAACACCATAAAGTTTCACATTTAATTATGTCAATATCCCCTTGAATAGACACATTACTTTTATGAAAAATTACAGAAGTCTTTATCCATTATTGTTATAGATTAATGTGACAATTATTGACATGAAAATTTAAATTTACGATGAATGTAAAAAAAGAAAACCAACGGCTGTTTGTAGCATTAATAGTTTGTTTTACAATAGGACTATAGAGAGAGAGAGAGTGTGCGCGCAAATTTGAAATCCAAGAAATGTAGATGAATACCTTGGGGCTCTGGCCTTTGGAGAGTTCAGTGAACAAACCCGGTTTCTTTCTGAAAAGGAAAAGGGGCTCTTTAGTAACTAGTGAACCATATTTATAGGTTGAAATTGAGAAGTATATATACAAAAGCATATATTATATACTATATATTAAATATACAAATTGCTTACTCATATTTTTCTCTCTTAAAATGAATGAAACCAGTTTTCATCCTCTCGACTGGGTTATATTGTTTGGTATCGGCACCGGCAGCAGTTTGCAACTCCGCTGTTATCTGCTCAATCTTTGCAGCAGCAACACTTTCAAGCTCACCTTTCTCACTGCATTCAAATTCATGCGAATTCACTGATCAGTAACAACTTTGTTGGGCAGATTTTGAATGGCATTAGTAAGTAATTTAATGTAAATAAAAGGACAATTGGGTCATTGAATCAAGTGGTTTATATATATATATATATATATTTTTTTTTTTTCTAATTGGTACTTACCTTTCAAAAAATTGATCGAAGAAGTATATAATTATGACTATTTTAAAATATGTAATTCGAGATGAACAATCCACATAAAATAGGGTCCACACCGTCTGTGGGACCACATTCGACCTTAGGTGATTTCTACTCTCTCTGTACGCTTGATTGTCTTGTGTTTAAGATAGGATACAATTTTAATGTTATGAAAGGAGTATGGTTTGTTCGTACGTTATTTTCAAAAAAATAAAAATAATAATAATGAAAAATTCTTACAAGTGGATCGGATTATTTCAGCTCGCCCATAAAAGTATAAAACCCAAACCATTTGGATCCTAACCGCTCCAAATTGTAGTGGGCATTAAACCCTAACCACACAAAACTGGATTGGTTTTATGGATTAGACTTTTTTATTGGGCTTTCCAGATGCCAGCCCAACCCGAATTATGTGTTCAATTTCCATTTTACAGAAGGGGTAATTGAAATCAATCAAATGACCGGAAAGAAATTAAAATGAATAAGATGATATTAAAATGAATTAAAATAAAATAATTTCTCTAAATCATATTGTTATATGCATTAAAAAAAAAATTACTAAGAAAAAGAAATAAGAAATATTAAAAAGAATTACATGTTCAATTCCCCTCGACAATTTGTCACTATACTCTTGGGAGATTAAAAATTTTTACCTTTCAAAGAAGAAGAGATATATATCATTAGATGACAATTCTTCAACCCAGTAAAAAAAATAAAAAAACCTTGGTGAACCATTTTTTTTTTTTTTTTTTGGGAAAGTAATCTTAGTGAACTTTGTACATAAAATATATGAATAAAAAAAATGGTCTTATATATATATATATATATATATATATATATATATACACACTATCTCCATCCCATATTAATTGTCCATTTTAAAAATTTTGACTCACTACTATCTTTTATTTTTTAGTCATTTGAAATCATTTTTAGTCATATTTCTTTTATATATTTATATACTACTTATGTCTCATGTTAGATGTTTACTTCGTTAACTTTGAATCACAAAAATTATAAGTCAAAACTTTTGAATTGGACAACTAATATAAGAAAGAGGTAGTATATATTTACAAAGCCCGAGTCCCACTTAAACACATCTAAGAGCATAAAAGTTGGGCTTTTTCCCATGTGTCACAGTTTTAAAATCATTTTTCATATATAAAGAAAACCAAGTTGATTATTTTTCACTAAAAACATGTATATACATATAAATAAATAAATAAAACATATATATATACACATGTATTCCTGTATGTATAGTAGTATATATTGGGCTTGGTTGTGACTTGTAATGAATAGACCAAGCGGGTGTTGATAATGTATGCAGTACGTGTGTAGATTAGTGCTGACATGGCAAAATCTATGGCCAGTGAGAAAGTAAGCCATCCAAACACAGCCGTAACAGGAATCACCTGAGGAGTTTCTTCAGTCCTTCAATGGCTTCCTCGTACGAATCCTTTCCCATTTCTTCTCTCTGCAAATCCCAATTTTATTACAGCAAACTCCGATCTAAATAAATTCATATATATTATATACTATATATATATATATATATTTTTGACCAAATGAATAAGGAAAATTTGAAGAAAACATAAAATCAGAAACTTTGCAAGTGCTAATTAAAAGGGAAACTGAACAGACCTTTTTCCAAGTCTTGAGATCTAGATTTGTGTGATGCGTAGTAGATGCATCTAATATATATACATATATAGATAGATGTAACGTAATTAACGCTGCATGCATATTATTAATTATAACATTTTTGTTTTTCCCATTTATCATGTATACTATTTTTAAGAAAGTCATAAATATATCTCTCTTTGTTGTTTAATGCATGGGCTAAACTGCAAATTACATAAACCACCCAATTGTTTTTGACTAAAGTTTACGACTCATAAACAACTAAAACGTGCCACTAATTAAGTAGAGTGTGCATGAACAAAGTCTAGATCATCTGCAATAGCATATTGGTGTTGTAGTTATATATATATAGATATATTTCGATGCACTTAGATTTATTTTTGACACATTTTCAACACATAAAGATAAATGTGTTAAAACACGAAATAATGTGATGTAAGTGCATTGAAATCCCGTTTCAATACAATTACTTTGTGTTTTTAACACATAATTCCTTATTTCAACTGCATTGAAAATGTGTTGAAAATAGATATAAATGCGTTGAAAAATGCTATTGCATGGACGTTCAAAGTGACAAATATATATATAGGCAGGTACCATATTAACATTAAATTACTACTAAAGAGGATAACCACATTGTCATTCCAACAAAGCTAAGTTTCTAGGGTTCACACACACACACACAGGGGGTACGTATATACCCAAGTGGGGGTGATAATGGGTGCAGGTGCAGCAAAGACGGGCTCGTTTCGGATGAGAGCAGGAGGGGAAGGAGCTGAAGAATTGAGCTTGGCAACAACTAAAGGAGTGAAAGAAGCTCTCTTGAGAGAAGACTGAGATGGAGAGAGAGAGGCTATGGAGCAACTGTGGATCGAAGCGGTCGACATTTCTCAATGAGCTCTAGAAATGTGTGGCTTTATAGTAGGTCACATACCACCATAACCATCATAGCCGATAATGAAAACGAAAGTTAAACAAATGAGAGCTTCTACCCTTGTAGATAAGGTTTGAACGTTGGAGATCGATTTTATTTTCCTATTCTTCTTCCAAACCTAGCCCTTTTTTTCTTATAAATTAAATTACAGCAATTAATACCTTAATTATTATTGGTCATAAGTCACTTCCACCAAGCTCATTTAATCAAAATAATATTGTACTCCGTATATATCATCATGTCTATATATATATATATATATATGCTGTTTGTGTACTTTAAAATGCATGCATGCAGCATGCATAAAATGAACTGTTTCCCACATTGTGGCTATAGGTTCATCCACTATATTATGATGGTGATGACATATGATGATATGCTTGGTGGTGATTATTCTTTTTTTCTTTTTTTTTAACTTATGGCATTTGGTGACACATTTGTAAAATTAAAGTTTATTATAATGAAAATAATAAAAGTTCGGTTTTTGCAATCAACTAACAATTATTGAGTTAAACAATTTTTTATTTTTTATATTTTATTACTCTGGTTACAAATTTAAAAATTGGTTTAAACGTTTATATATATGATGTGTGTCAATATAATAACATTCCTAGTATAATAACAAAGAGAGAATGAAAGGAATTTGGAGAGAAGTGGTTATCAAAAGGGAATGGTGGTCCTGGCTTCTTGAGTGCTCGAATTATCTTCGGAGAAGGGACACGTGTCGGGATATGAGAGAGTGTGATGTTGAAACAAATTACCAATATATATATATATATAGATATATATATGTGGCGATCAGAAGGATAACAAATGAATGGAATCGAATGGTGCACAAGAGATGGAGAGTGTGGGTGATGGATGATGATAGAGATAAGGTGTTCTCTGGATAAGGTGTTGTCTCTAAACAAATGGCTCTGGTGGTAGAATGCATAGATATAAATGGATCCCTCTCTCTTTTATCTTGTGTGGCAATGGTTTTGTGTGCTTTGATAAAATCAGAATATAAATAAAAACAGAAAATTTAAAAAAAAAAAAAAAAAAAAATGGTTCACGGGCTTATCAAAAAATACCCCTCCTTAACGCCTGGGATCTGGGCTTATTGTGCTAGGTTGGGTGATCTTGGGATGTTTGGATGGACTGGACCGAGTTGGGTCCCAATGAATTGCATTGTAACTTATACTAGGATCGAAAATGTTTTAGATAATGATTCTCAAACCCAATTGTTTAACCGAGAATGTTGACGGAATAATTTTCACAAGTAGAATATAAATAAGGTGAAGAGACTGAGATATATTAATAATAATTTTCACAATTTTTTATGGTTCATCGATCTCTCATAGCAATCTAGAGTTGAGACTTTGACAAAGATGATTGAAAGCTGGGATTATAGCCTAGATTTTTAAATTTTATAGTTATAGAGTGCTTATATGAACTTAATTAATTAATTAACAAGCTTAAAATTTTGCTTAAACCGGTTGTTTCACTAACCAATCTTAAACCAGACTCAACTCGATAAACTCTTAATTAACACCATCATATTAATTGTGCCCCCAAAAAAAAAATTGCCTAATGACCCTCAAGTGAAAGGAAATTAACTTAAGAAAACACATAGAGTTTCATTTTCCGATAATGAGGAAAAGAAAATATAAAGTAGAAAGAGAGGGAAAATTTCTGTGACTTGGAATAAATTAAGCTTCCATATAAATAAACAAGGGAGCATGAATATAAACTTGTATATATATATAGAGAGAGAGAGAGATGCGGAGAGAATGAGAGAGGTGTTGATCATTTAAATAAGTGAAATTGGTGGAGCAATTCAGCTGACATTTTTTTTTTTTTGACATCTTAAAGACATAATTTCTAGTTCAGATCCAAGTGGAGGATGCTAATTGGTCAGAAAATATATAAAGGTAGTCCAGCAAGGTGAGCATGTCAACATTCTTCTGTCATCGTTTGGACATCTTCTCATCCAAGTCTAGGTGGGGACTCAACCTATTAACACCGTAGGATTTACAAAAGTGTCAAATCTAGTTCGGGATTCAAAAACACACAAATTAGTTAAATTCGAGTATTTTTTCGTTTTGTAAGAGTCGAAATTCAAGATGTCTGAATTCACAATTAGTCCATTATGCAAATTGATTTGAGTTTTGTAAGAGTCGAATTTAGGATTTCCGAGTTCACAACCAGTCCATCATGCATATTGGATTGATCAAATATTTGTTTGACAATTCATCACTAATTATATATACTACTCCTAAGAAGTAGTGGAATTTGAACATCCCTTGAATACTTACAAACCACTTTAGTAATCATAAAAAAAATTTTAAGTTTGTCTTCATGGTTGGTAACAATGAAAGAAGCACAAATTTTCATGAAAAAAATGTATGAACTTTCTCTATATTGATTTCTGTAGACATAGACTATTTCACATCAATGAGCATACAATGTTGTCCCAAAAAAGGTGTCTTAACATCTATTACCATTTCAACAATTCAAAAGAGTGTATCAACATTTTACTGGTACTGCAACTATAGAAGCAGGGGTTTTGTAAATGCTTCTCAACTAGACCCCAAGGCCTTGACCGGCAATGAGACCGGACCTTTGCGCAACTTGGCCTGAGTGGCGGCCTGGTGGATCGAGTCTTGAATTCCCGCGAACGCCACCAAGAACTCGGCTGCATCCGTTCGGCTCAGCACTTTCTTCACCACCATCTCCCATGCCTTGAACCTGTCACAATTGCATATACATTTGAACCCTGTCAATAACTGTCACATTTTGGTAGTTATTACAGTTACTTTCACAGTTGTGTAAATGGACCTGAGGTTCTGGGCCTTAGTGATGACCCCGAAGATCTTATTGAACTCGGACCGAACAAAAGCCATAGCAGACCCAGGCCCATTGTGCCTGTTGTCGACCATCCCAAAAGGGAGGTTGAGGATACAAGTGGATTGGATCTCACCCATTTCCTCATCCAGCACCACCTCCTCGATCCGCATCTCATGGATCAGATCCGGCAAGGCCTGTTCGATGTCATTTGGTTCAGACAACGAAGAAGGTGAGGAGCGTGCAAGTGAGCGGAGGAGGTCCAAAATGGCGGAGGGCCTCCAATCTCCAAACCAGGCCTGAGCGGCCATCTCGTGGGCTGAGGCCCACTTGGGCACGAGCAATTGGACCACATCCTTGAGCCGGGTTGTGACCATGGGATGGCTGTAATGGGCATGGAAACGGTTCAGTTGTTCCTCAATTAGGTCGTCTAGAGCCCTGAGATGTTTCTCTAGCTTTGCTGCTCTGCTCTTCTGTTCTTGCCTCCAAACACCATAGTTGTCCAATTGTACTGGCTCTTCACCTGATCAAATTTAGCATTTTAATTCCCAACAGACAAGAATAATTTGTATGATGAAGTCAGTCCCACCTATATATGTGTGTATGTGTGTGTGCGTGTTAAATTGTGTGTGTGGGACATGTCAAAAGAGTCACTAACCAAGAACGATTTAACACAAAATTGAGCCCATTTGAAGAAAGTCCTACCTCTGCGTGTGTATAAAATTATGTGTGTGTGTGTAGCCATGTCAAAGACTCACTAACCAAGTACAAATTAACACAAAATTGAGCCCATAAGTACCACCTGTGTGTGTGTGTATGTATAGACATTTAAATAATCCAAGACTCACTAACCAAGAACAAGTTAACACAAAATTGAGCCCATTTAAAGAAAGTACCACCTATGTATATGTGTGTGTGTTAAATTATACGTGTGTGTTTAGACATGTTAGAGACTCACTAACCAAGAACGAATTAACACAAAATTTCGAGTAGACTGGAATAAAAAAAAGATTAATTGCATGAATGGTGCTATGGGTTTTGAGAGAGAAGAATTTTGGTCTTTTCCATGACAAGAAATGCCATGTACATATAATTCTAGCCAAGAAAGTGTCAATTTTCCTACACTTTCCGGGAAAATAAACTAAGGTAGTTTGTTCTCTTTTTAAAAGGAAAGTGATAATAAGAGAGAGATCTAACACAAAAATTTGATTGGACTGCAAAGAACCAATAATTGCATGAATAGTGTTATGGGTTTTGAGAGAAAAGAATTTTGGTCATTTACATGACAAGAAACGGCTATGTTTGGGAAATTCTAGCCAAGAAAGCGTCAATTTTCCTACATTTTCCGGGAAAAGAAAAGGGTGTGGATGTTTTACCTCGCTTGGTTGGTTCTCGTTTGTGGAGGGTCATACTCATGCATTGGAATTGCTCTGCTATGTCATCCACGTCGTCATCATCATCGTCGTCGTCGTCGTCTTCGTCTCCTCCATGACCTTGCGCAGACATTTCTATGTTTTCAACTGATTGTGCTTCGTCATAGTCAGGTTCTTCTGACAAGTAAACCCTGCACATGGTCCCGTTTGGTTCGTGAGAAAATTGAACAGGGCAAGGGCGTGTTGCATAATGTGTGTGTGTGTGTGTGTGTGTGTGGGGTCACAAAATTGAAATAAAGAAGATGAAGATGAAGAAGAAGAAGAAGAAGAGGGATGGAGATTACAGAAGGGGAGACGACGTCCCATTCATTTCTTCACTTTCTCTCTCTAGAAAATTTTCACGCTTATCGCAACTTCTTGAACACTTGATTCTGGAGTCGGAAATTTGATTGCCAATGAGTAGATGAAAGAGACGATCGAGAATTTATATAAGAGAGATAGACCTTGGGCTGAAAGAGGCCCAAAAACTATGGGCCTCCATGACCACAATTTTGGGCTAATCTTCATAAAAAAAGAAAAAAAAAAATTAATGGATTTGCATGAAAGAGACCAGAAAATTAATACTCATGGCCCGTTCTGGGATGCGAAAGGAGCTCAATTCTACTTCAACCATCCCCAAAAAGGTATATTCATTTTAGAACCCGGATGCCTTCCCGTGTAAAGGGATTTCGTGCCCTCATTCTGTTCCGGTAGTGCAACACACTGCATTACAAAATATAATATCATAAAATAACAATGTAATCACGGGTGAATCTACGGGTGGGCTCAAGCCGATCAAAAAAAAAAAAAAATCATTACAACTCATCCAAAAAAATATTAGCTCGACAATTTCTGAATTTGCCATTGAATGTAACATATTTGTTGTATAAGCAATATAAAGATGTTACATTGGTAACGCGAAGACACAAAACATAAAAAAAGAAAGCGACATAAGAAAGGATCCGAATTCATTATTTTTATAAATTAACCAAATATATGCTATTAATCAATGTACATTAACCACCTTCTAATTCCCACTGGCCATGAAAGTACGAGACCCTTTGTCCAAATCACTCAAGTTCTTACACAAAAAAATTGGGAAAGAGATTCCACTTTCACATTTAAACATTTTTCCGAGGTTGCCTTAAGAGTTAGGTGCACGTGTGACTTTTACCAAATAAATTTATAATTTTGGAGGAAATTACTTCTTAACACAAAAAAATATATATATATTCAAACCGACTAATCACGGAAGGGAAACAAATAGTAAAAAATTATAAAATCATTCTATTAAAATATTACTCTATTTGATTTATATGAATTTATTTCTCTGTCTTGTGTTTCACTATCCGACTTATCTAAATAATGTTCGCTTTCCACACATTCTTGGTGATCACGATTTTCAAAATGCGTTTACATAATTAAAAGATACCCACACATATAAGTAATACAAAATTGTCACAATAGTTGTAGCCTAGCAATAAATTATTTCCCACTAAATTCCAACTTTGTCATCATAATGTATATCTATCATATTTGCTAGTGAGAAACACAAATGCATTATTTAGAATAATTTGTCTGTTTTTTCTTGGTGCATTATTTAAAGACTTGTTCACATCAATACATAATTCATTCGAGTTGTCTCTGCGTGATGTTGTGGCCATACTTGTCAAATAAACTTTAACATTTTTCTTCTTTTTACACATCTTAACACATAAAAATAAATAAATAAATAAATAAATAATATATATATATATATATATATATATATTCAAACCGACTGATCACAAAAGGGAAATAAATAGTAAAAATTTATGAAATCACTCCATAAAAATATTGCCATATTTGATTTATATGCATTTATTTCTCTTTCTCGTGTGTTACTTGACTTATCTAAATACTGCACTTACACACTTATTGTGATCGTGATTTTCAAAATATATTTTCATATTTAAGAGATACTCACATATATAAGTGATACAGAATTATTATAATAATTTTGGATATAAGAGAGAGACCTTGGGCTGAAAAAGGCCCAAAAACTATGGGCCACCATGACCACAATTTTTGGCTAATGGCCATAAAAAAAGACAAGAAAAAATTAAATGGACTTGCATGAAAGAGACCAGAATATTAATACTCATGGCCCGTTCTGGGATGCGAAGGGAGCTCAATTCTACTTCAATCATCCCCAAAAAGGTATATTCATTTTAGAACCCGGATGCCTTCCCGTGTAAGGGATTTCGTGCGCTCATTCTGTATCGGTAGTGCAACACACTGCATTACAAAATATAATATCATAAAATAACAAAGTAATCACGGGTGGATCTAAGGGTGGACTCAAGCCAATCAAAAAAAAAAAAAAAAAAAAAAAAAAAATCATTACTAGCCCACCCAAAAAAATATTAGCTCGACAATTTTTAAATTCACCCTTGAATGTAACATATTTGTTGTATAAGCAATATAAAGTTGTTACATTAATAACGCGAAGACACAAAACAGAAAGAAAGAAAGTGAGGTAAGAAAGGATCCGAATTCATTATTTTTATAAATTAACCAAATATATGCTATTAATCAATGTACATTAACCACCTTCTAATTCCCACTGGCCATGAAAGTATGAGACCCTTTGTCCAAATCCCTCAAGTTCTTCTCTCCAAAGAGATTATGCAAGAAAATTGGGAAAGAGATTCCACTTTCACATTTAAACATTTTTCCGAGGTTGCCTTAAGAGTTAGGTGCACGTTTGACTTTTACCAAATAAATTTATAATTTTGGAGGAAATTAATTCTTAACACAAAAAAAAATATTCAAACCGACTAATTACAGAAGGGAAACAAATAGTAAAAAATTATAAAATCATTCTATTAAAATATTACTCTATTTAATTTATATGAATTTATTTCTCTTTCTCGTGTTTTACTATCCGGCTTGTTTAAATAATGTTCGCTTTACACACACTCTTGGTGATCACGATTTTCAAAATACGCCTACATAGTTAAAAGATACCCATACATATAAGTAATACAGAATTGTCACAATAGTTGTAGCCTAACAATAAATTATTTCCCACTAAATTCAAACTTTGTCATCATAATGTATATCTATCGCATTTGCTAGTGAGAAACACAAATGCATTATTTAGAATAATTTGTCTGTTTTTTCTTGGTGCATTATTTAAAGACTTGTTCACATCAATACATAATTCATTCGACTTGTCTCATGCATAACATGATGTTGTGGCCATACTTGTCAAATAAACTTTAACATTTTTCTTCTTTTTACACATCTTAACACCAAAAACAATAATAATAATAATAATTAATTAATTAATTAAAACCGACTAATCACAAAAGGGAAATAAATAGTAAAAATATATGAAATCACTCCATAAAAATATTACCATATTTGATTTATATGAATTTATCTCTCTTTCTCATGTGTTACTATCTGTCTGACTTGTCTAAATACTGTTCTTACACACTGATTGTGATCATGATTTTCAAAATGCATTTACATATTTAAGAGATACTCACACATATAAGTGATACAGAATTATCACAATAATTGTAGCTTAACAATAAATTATTTCTCACTTAATTCCAACTTTGTCATCATAGATTCATAATGTATATCTATCACATTTGCTAGTGAGAACACAAATGCATTATTTAGAATAATTTGTTTGTTTTTTCTTGGTGCATTATTTATGACTCGTTCACATCAATACATAATTAATTATGTCTCATGCATAACATGATGTTGTGGTGTGTTAGCATCATGACTTTATGACAATGGCCATACTTGTCAAATAAACTTAACATTTTTCTTCTTTTTACACATCTTTGTTGTCATTTTCAGAATTAAATTATGACATTGAAGAGCCAAAGGCAATGTCTTCTGAGTTTGAAATTTTCATAAAGTTGAAGTCGACATGTATGTCCTTCATGGTTGTTGAAGTTTCGGTTTCAATTTCACAGTTTGCAGTTGTTGAGAAATCCAATTTCAATGTAACATAAATAAATTTCGAATCATCATCGTGTTATATTTTTTTATATTTTTTTTGGTGAGATATGTACAATCACGTTCAAACTATACATATTATTTAAATTTAGAATGAATTTGCATATAATGGAATTCAAAACATTCGAATTTACAATTTACACCATAAAATGTCTCAATCCACTGAGCCACCTTTGCGGATTAACACCGTCCGAACTTGTTACGTTGAAAACCTAAGTGATTTTGACTATTACCTTGTTCGTAACCATAACTGTGAGTGAGACCACCTTGACCTACAAATGGAGTCTCATGGTTAAAAATGGCTGGCTGGCAGTTTGACCGAATCAAAATATAACCTCCAGCTTTGAGACATATGGTCCTAAGCATTTGGCATGATTGAAACAAATTCTAAAGGACTGAACGTTAAGAGTACAATGACCCAATCTTGACTTGTTACATCTATCTAGTTTGGATTCGAATTCAGATTTCACGTGAACAAATGAATCTTATTACATTAGGTATATAAATGGATTGAATTTATATCGGATTAATTAAATTCATATTTGATTTGTTATGTTAACCGATTATCGGATTCAAATCGCTAATGAGTTATTACTTATTAGACTAAATGTTATGATCCATATCCTATGTAGTTTAGATTCAAATTCAAATCGATATATTCAATCCGTTTTAACTTTCAACCGATCCAAATACTCCAACCGATGTCCTATTTGAAATTCTATTAGACAGTTAAAAAATGACCCAATCTCGACTTACATACACAAATAATAGAAGTTGGGGAGAAGAGAAAATGAACCATAACTTCCTAATAACCTATAGGAATATGATTTCCACCAAAACAAATAGCCATTGTTGAAAGGTGAACTTTAACATTTTCTCTGGCTTTCCAAAAGTTTGTTTTTTTTTTTTTTTTTTTTTTTTTTTTTTTTTTTTTTTTCTTACCAACTCGCAATACAAATTATAGAACATGTGTATCGGCTCTACAACAAATGCATCATTCAAGTCAGGAGTGAGATTCGAAAGATAAACTTCAATAACTTACCTTCTGAATTTTTACCAACGCCACTATATCCCTGGGGACTTGTAACTGCAAAATTTACCCGTTTATCATTTTAACAGTGAAATTTCAAAATAAATGTTATGAAAGCTTACACTAAAGTGAAAATTCTTTTTATATATGCTGTCTAAATGCAGTGGTTTATAGGCTTCTAACTTTCCAGCATGCTAGGAGACAAAAATCATGTTTTTGTCACACCAACATGGCTTACAAGTTAAGGATGGACTAATTTAGTGATGGAAGTAGTATCATTGTTAGTCTATTAGCGGAAACAATGTTCAACCTCATTAACACACTCAAATCATGTTGTTTAATTACCAGAATGCCTAATGACTCAAATTAGTTTGTTATAAAAATGACTTTTATTTTTATTTTATTTTTGTAAAATATTGTACAACTTTTGTTGAGCTCTTTAATGTAAGTCAATATCATAAATGACAAGGGTGATAACTAAATACAAGATATAATAGAGTATCAACCAAAAGTCATGGTTTTCATGCCCTTTGGTCCTTATATATAGTCTCAAGGCGTTACCTAAATTCTTCAGGCTCTCAAAACTTTACCTAGGGTAGCCATTATGATCCTAAAGGTCTCAATAGGGACGATTTGGTCTTTTGACATCGAGAATAAGTATGCAGGGACGGACCCAGCAGGGGACTAGGGGGGGCAGATGCCCCCCTGAATTTTTAATATTTTCATTTTATACCCTAATGTTTTTAAAATTTATGAAAATGCCCCCCCTAAAATTACAATTCGCCCCCACTGGATTCTTTTTTTTTTTAGCATTTTATACTTCAAATTTTGATAATTTATGAAGATGCCCCACTATAATTATAATTTGCCCCACTGATTTTTTTTTTTCATTTTATACTTAAATTTTTTTTAAAATTTATGAAAAAAACCCTACTAAAATTACAAAAATAAACCCATCATATAATTTTGTACCCACAAATTAAAAATTCGCCCCCCCTCACCAAATTTTCTGGGTCCGTCACTGTAAGTATGCACATCTTTTCAAAGATGGCGATAACTGTATTTCATTAATGCAATGATAAGTATTGTAGTCGAGACTCGTGATGTCGTTGGTGGTGCCAGACTCGAGCTCAAATCGAGTGAAGAGGGATTGGCCACGTGGCTTCGTGGGTTAGATCCCCTACAACTTTCCATACCAAAGTCATCTTTTCTTTTTGTTTTTTTATACAAAAGTCCTCTTTTTTATATGTCCCTTTATGCTGTTTTCTTTCTTACCTCTTTCCATTATTTGCAGAAAATCATAGACTCGCCATATAATCGGGAATTCAAATCATTAAATGTCCACTTGGAAACAAAATTTCCAAGTCATTTCGACCCAACAAGGCATACCACTTTTCATTTTTTAAAAAATAAATAAAGTATATCAAAAGAAGATGATTGAAAGTTGTATTTTTTTTATAATTATTTTATATTCTATGTATTATATATGTATTTATTATTGGACCACGCAATTATACATGAGACTACGTGATGGTTATTGGGATGCTTTAAAAAAAACCGACACCATTAAGTCATATCTTCAAATTGCACTAGATTGAAAATTTGACCCTTCAAAAGTTGTTCATCTTTTTTTTAATTTTCTTTTTCTTTTTTCCGTATAGGAGTATTAAATTGACATACAAAGCCATTACTCATTAGACACAATATATTAAATGTCACCAAATGTGTTGTGTACTTAAATAGTTTCACACCACAATCTATACATAAATTCTCATAAATCGCCAACAGTTTTGATATATGGAAAAACATCATAATTAAAGTACCCATCAACACCACCCACTGTCATATAAATAAATACAAACAAACCACACAAAAATGTGTTTACAATTAAACAAATTAAAAAACAAAATATATATCACGGTTGTTGAAATTAATTGCATATATACTGTATATCTGTATCTATAGACTATATCTGTATCTATTGACCACTAAAAGGTAGGGAAGGTCCGGCTCAGGCCGTTCACGTTAGCAAAGAACCCTACAAGGTCTTGCCTGTAGGGCAGATACGACTTTCTCTTATCACCTTCCTTCATCGCTCTGGTCCGCACATAAAACGTCTCGTGAGCCGACGGCGGTGGCGGCGACGACTTCAATTTTCCGGCGTTCCTCACGGCGGTGCCGGAGCTCAAACCTTCCTTCGTGTTCTCTGTTTTCTCATTTCTATCAACCTTTTGTGCTCTGTTTTTCGGAGTCAAGAACACGAAGGCATCTTTGCCTTGAATGCCTTCGCTGTTGCTTCGCCGGAGTAAACTTAGAAACCTCCACCGTTTCGATGCCGATCCAGTCGAACTGCTTTTCTTGCATCTGTCCGGCGACAATTCGACTACTTTTGGCCTCCAAACGCAGTACGTTCCCGGAGGTATAGTTTCCAATTCGTCTGCTTCCGATTCCGATGACGACGGAATTTCACGATCTTCCATGAACAACTTCTTCAACGGAATTCGAAGAGCCGAAGCATCATCTGGCTTCGATTCATCTTCAGATTCTACAAGAGTGCGGTTGAAGATCGGGAAAATCGGATGGACATGACCGTCGAAAAAGATTTCATCTCCAGTGCCGTCCTGTTCGTTCCTTACCAAAGAAAATTCGAAATCGTCGTCGTCGTTGTCATCGAGATCATTTGAGGTCCCCACAGAAGGTGCCTCGTCGGCGCTGAATTCTTCACCGACTCTGGCTGCGATTTCTGCAAATCTATGTGAAGAGTAGCTATTGAAGCTAGGGCACAACAATATAGCGTCTTTTTCCTGCATTTCCTGCTGCTTCTGCCGTTCATATTCCTCCATATATCTATACGCTGATATTTATGTGTGTATATATAGACTATAGAGAGAGAGAGGGTATATGTGCGTATGTATAGAGAGAGAGAGAGGTGAATGAGTGAGGAGGGGGGACAATTACGGGGTTTTATATGGGGGGTTTGTTTGGGGAAGGGGGATTTTTAAGAGGAAATTGGGACAGGCAAAGTGTGTGAGTGGTGACGTGTGACTCAGTTGAAGAATCGTTGAGTTTACGACTTTGACGCTTTTCTTTTATTGCACTCGGTTAGTTTCACACGTGTGATTCTGGAAACGTCCAGACCGCAAACAATATTTACTGTTTGCAATTCGATATTGCTGTATTAACCAAAACAATTAATTAAGCACATGTTAATCATGTTTGCACGCGTTTTGGTTATAAGCAGGGACTCCTGATATCCAAAAGGTATTTGGTGTGCTCAGTGTTCCGACCCATTACAAAGGCGCATTGTACATGTAGGATCGATGATTGTAATGACCCGATATATCGGGCACATCAAATATATTCTTTTTAATAACTCATTTGAAAGAGGAAAAGAATAAAAAATTATTAGGTAATTTTAGACAATTCAATAGTTAATGCTCCAATTTTATCAAAGTTAATTTTCAATTTCTTCTTACCATGTCTCGTTACATTTTTCGAGTTTCATTTTTCTTAGCCAAAAAGTCTTGATTGTACTGGACCATCTATAATTAATGGTCCAATTCAATCAAAAACTAATATATCATTACATTCTTTTAGGTTCGGTTTTTCTAATGGTAAAGTCTTGGACTGGACCACTTAGTGGTCCAAAATTATTTAATAATTTCTCTAATTTTTAATAGTTAATGCTCCAATTTTATCAAAGTTAATTTTCAATTTCCTCTTACCATGTCTCGTTACATTTTTCGAGTTTCATTTTTCTTAGCCAAAAAGTCTTGATTGTACTGGACCATCTATAATTAATGGTCCAATTCAATCAAAAACTAATATATCATTACATTCTTTTAGGTTCGGTTTTTCTAATGGTAAAGTCTTGGACTGGACCACTTAGTGGTCCAAAACCATTTAATAATTTCTCTAATAAGAGTGTTGCATTTCCAAACACGGCAGAGATAGGGGGGATAGAATCTGTGTTTTTAATTTTTTTTAAAATATAGAAAAAAATTAGGTAAGGAAAGAAAAGCAAAAGGGCGAGGAGAGACAGTTTCTTGTTTACCTTTTATCATTTATTAGATGATATTAAATACTGTATTAAAGAGTCTCTCCAAACAGAAGCAAAACAGAAGAAAATAACAAATCATATTATATCATGATCTTATCCATGCAACGTTACTCATACCTTTAATTTCAGCCAATTTTAGTCGAGAACATTTAAAAGTCATTTATTAGATATTCAATGTTTAATGTCGAGATAAATGACGATAGATTTAATTGGAAAGAATTGTCCTGTTTGGCTGCCAAAAGTCCATCGGGAAGTAATTTCCCACCGTGTCCAAACAGGACAACTTTATGTAAGATTTCATTTTCTAGAAACAAAAAACCTTTGACTTTCTAGAACAACGATAGATATATATATCTGGAACAAGGACAACAACAGCACACCAATGACGTTGATAGAGACAGAAACCTTATTCGGGAAGAAACCCTTTGAGTTCTTGGTTCGCAAGCACACAAGTCATGGTTTCGATGATAAAATAATGAGAATAATATACGACTAATTGATGTCAAACTACAAGACATTTGAGAACCATCAATTAGTTGCACACCTAATTACGTGCATAAGCATGATGAAATGCCATAACTCATTCTTAGTTTATTAATCTTTTTAAAATTGAATATATATAATTATTTACTTCATTAAACTTCCTCATTAAAAAAAAATGATATATAATTCGATAATCACTGTTTTATGATAGTAATGAGAATAGAGAATGATGTAAATTATCTATTCGCATAAATACAATTAGTAGGGTCACTGACTCAAATAACAATTTCACTAATAGAGATACAAGGTGTTAACAGCCAAACATGCATCTAGAACTGCCCTTTACTTTATAAAACTTGAAAAAAGATTAAATATTTTTTGGACCCTCGAAACAATATTATCTTATTATGAGGATGTTGATCTATTTGCTAGTGGATAGTAATAGTTGGAAAAAGGATGGCAAATGTAAATCATGGTTCATATGAGGGACCAATATGCAGCACCTGATTGGCTGCAGTAAAATGTAAAATCCATAGGAAGTTTGACAAATAAAGATTATATATATATATATATATATATATCACGTGTATGTATGTAAGTATGCATATCTGGCATAATTGACAAGTATATCACTGAAATGAACTGAAACTGCATAAATGACTTCAGAGAGTGGAATGGAATAATCTCAGTGTGGAGCTACCTACCTGAATTAGACTTTGGCACCAAAACAACCCTGTTACGCAATTTTTGTCAATGAAAAAAACTATAAAAATCTGACTTCTTATTTACATTTCTATCATGTAAACGCAAGCATGGCAAATAAAAATGTCATTACCAACTTAGACTCCAATTTGTGTTCCTACTCCTGACAGCCCAGCCGAAACTCGTGTCACTTCACCGAAGAATACCCTTATGCATGAACATAAATTGCAAGATCAACATCAAAATGACAATGGTACATCGAAAAACCTTTTTTTTTTTTTTTTTTAATTACAAATTAACAATAAGTGATCAAATTGGTCACAGAACTTGGAATGGCTTTCTTTCAATTCAAATATAGACATACTGTCAAAGATGCTTATATCACATGATCATTTATAAGACAGTAGGATGATTGAAAAGCATAGGAGAAACAAGGACATGCCCTTGATGTCCTAATACCTTGGCTTTACATTGCATATCTACATTGTAAGTGGTACACAAATCTCGTCTCCGCATTCACCATCCAACCTATGTTTCAATTGCGAATTCAAAAATACAGAAAACAAAGAACCCATAATAATTACATGATTTAGAAAGTATACCCTCTTTCATGACTACCTTTCCCGCATACTCCGCTTTAGATGCTTCATTTTGTTCTGGACCCCGATAGGCAACTCACCAGAAGCCTCAATCTCCGAACCTTCAGATCGTCTTCTTTGAATAATGTCATGGTACATTGGTCGAAACCGTGTCTGAAAAGCCCTGTACGAAAAATAAGGCAGCAGAGTGGAAACAACAACAAGAAGGGTGGCCATCCAATAGAAAGGACTTGGTGCGCAGGCTTCCACAAGAACCTTGTATGCTGTTGTTGATACCGTTGGTGATAGAGAACCATAAATTGCTAGGAATGCATACCAGAAGGCAATGCTGCCCCAGATGAAGAAGTGCTGGATCCAAGTGAAGTAGTTAATGGAGAGTGCCATTTGGCAGTTCACAGCCCACACTACACAAGTATACATCGTGACCCCCAGGATTTCAAAGTCAACTACATGGCCATCTCTCCGGAAAGCCTGATGTATGGAGGAGCTAGCAGTTAGGAAGAAGATGATCATGGAACTGATAACCCCATTCAAAATCCAACCAAGTATTCGGAACCAAGTGAAGAGGATGTTCTGCACTCCCTCTTGATATAGCAAAGGATACTGTAAAAATAAATAGCAAATGGATCAATTAACAGTCCTGACTACCATATACAGTTTCAAGGTGTGAAAAAGGAACCAGGCTGATACTGCCATATATCAACTGAGTTGATAGATATCCACTCGCTTTGGGCTTTGTAGATGAAGTCATCATCCAACAGACCGAAACTTCACATTAAATCACCAAATCTTTTATCGACGTTGGAACAATGCAACAAGACAAGAATCTCCGTTACTTGCTATTATAAACTTTTAAATCAATGAATTATCATCCTCCATTTGCTATTAAGTTTGCATTCCAAAAGTGCAACTACAAGAATTTCCTTTAAAAAGACCTTCAGTTATTTATGAGAGACCTATCTTACAATGCACCTTCTTAACTACTCCCTCCGTCCCATAAAAGTGTCACTTTTAGGGAACCGTGACTCTCACAAATTGAACTGTCCCGGTTCCCAAAACACGACACTTTTTTTGGGACGGAGGTAGTACAATAAATGGCATTCCCATGTAGTATGTTTAACTAGAATATAGTTCAGTAAACTGGATAGAGTAATATTGCCATAATATGTAGAGCGATGCATGCCAGTTACTTTGTTTTATAAGAAAGATACTCCAGGATTATACATCTTCCACTTTTATGACAAGAAGAGGCACACACTCTGTATCATGTTGAGTTGTCCTTCCCTCAATAATGGAAGGCCGAACATAATGATTGAATATAAATTAGTACCTATCTCAAACAAGACTACCTAAGAATTTTTAATTTAAGGACAGTAAAACAAAATGCAAGGGCCGGAAAGGAGTCAGGCCAATCCGTTTATAACAACATTTGGTCTGGGAATTATAGGACATGTATTGTCTAAAAGAACAGTCACCCAACAGTGTTTCACTATCATACTATTAGATTAGAAGCAAGATTTTTATAATATGACAATATAATTATTTGGAGAATTTCAGTTAAAAATATTTATGATATAGTAATATTAGTTTATAGTTTAAATTATTACGATAGTTGAAATGACCAAATTTAAAAGGCAAATTTTTAAAAAGGGTCTGCTAATGCAATGAGCTTACCTACAGGCACATCACATGTAGAAGGCCTCTGTAATTGTTTGCTAAGAGAGATTAATCAAATCCTGATTTCATATTTAAGTAAGTTTGTACTTTGTTCATATGCTAATTAATTTGTTAAATAAGAAAGCTACTTCAGGAATATACATTTCCACTTCGATGACAACGAGATGCACACATTGTATCCCATCCTTTCCTTGATAATGGCAGGCCAAACATTAAAATTCCAAATACAGTATTACCAATTTCACACTAGCCAAACTGAGAATTTTTTAATTTAAGGATTGTAAAACAAAATGCAAAGGCCGGAAAGGAGTCAAGCCAATCGGTTTACATCAACACTTGATCTGGGCATTATAGGACATGCATCATCTAAAAGAATATTCACCCAACAGTGTTTCAGTATCATAATATTATAAGGTAAATTTGCAATGGATAACAATATATATTTGGAGATTCCGAATTAACATTATGATGTAAAAGAAAATGTTTAAGGTTTCAAGAATTACAGCAGTTGAAAGGACCGAGTTCGAAAAGCAAATACCAAAAAAAGTTTTTGGTCATGGCATTAGTTTATGCAGGCCTGTGTATTTGTTGCTAAGAGAGCTTAATCAAATTTAAGAAAGTTTATACTTTGTACTGTAGCAGCTAGTTAAGGAAAGCAGTAACAAAAAATGAAATGGGAAGTGGTAGTGGAACGTGTGACTAAAGAATATGTAAAACAATAAAGGATACAGTTGGTAGATGTCTATATGATTGGTGACGAAAGAGAAACCTCTTGATCAAATTTGTCAAAAAGGTGGGAGCTTTAAGAAACGCATGAGAAAGCTTAATGGTAAAGACATTTTACCTCAATGTTGCAAAATTTACAAACATATTTAATCAGAAAAATTCAGAACCTATATAATTAGTATTACGAGAAAAAAGTAAATAAAACAAAATTTTACATGGATTTTAAATTAGCTCCTCATACGTTCTGAAAATGGGTTTTGAAGAAATGCAATTTTCTTCAGGTCTGTTATAATAAATGGAATTTTCCTCTTAGCACGAAGAATATCATGTACCATGTATAAAATTCAAGTATTACAAAATTAGTTCTTCTTGTGCATTTTCCTTTTCCTGTAGCCAACTGCCATGTTAAATTAAATCACCCAGTGCTGCACTGCTCTAGCTTTACAGAACATATCATGGTCTTCCCATGTTACCTTACGGCTATATTTTCTCCTTATTTGCTCTGTTTCCACACTCTCTCTTGCTTCATTATTCAGATTCTCAGTATGTAATAAGGCTCTTAGAAGGATAAAAAGTTCATACCTTGAGGCAAAGTCGTGCAGAAACATCCTGATCAAAAACTCCGAGAGCAACCACAGGAAGTGAAGTGAAGAAGACATTGTAGAACGACATGTACCAATCGTTATAAGCAGGTTGGCCAGAGAAAGAAGTGTAGGCCTCATACCAAAATAGAGTAAAGCCAAATGTGATGTTCTTGTAGAAGAAGTAGCATATCTATATTTGAGAAAGAAAAAACAGAAGAAAATTGTCAACTAGGATGAAGCATTTAGTTGATTGTTATATGAAACTCTTTTTCCTCTAACATGACACAACATTATATATTTTCAGCCTAGATTTCATTCTTTTGGCAAATTTGTTTAAAAATGCAGGTGAAGATATTCAGCTAAAATATCCCTCACGTTCCATTATATTTTCTGAATTTTATATAAAAATTTCTAACTCATAGAAACTACAAACAAATGGCATTAACATACTAACTTGGAATGCTGATTTTGTTAGTTTATTATTAAGCACCTTGTTTTTCATTTTCTAGTGCTATAAGAAGACAACAGGCACACACTTACCATCATTGCTATTCGCCTGTAACACCAATGGCCATGTACCAACAACAATCGTTCGAGAAAACGGAATTGAGCTATTGCAAAATCACTTGACATGGCAGCCTATAGTCAAAAAAAACAATTGGAATCATGAGCCAAGTTGTTAGTACTAAACCATAGATTCTGAAAGAATTTTTTTAAGAAAAGTGTCGTAGCAAAAGCTTCAAAGAGAATGTAATTTGGGAGAGGAGACTGCAGACAACACTTGGTTCCTGAAAGTGGTAACAAGGAGGCAGTAAATGATACAAGGTTGGCATATATGGATCAAAAATAAGAAAGAAGCAAAAGAGAACAGAAAAACAATCTGAGAGGAATGGCAGTCAGGAAAGTCAACTAATAGCTCTTCCTGCTCCCTTCTCTCCGAACATCAAATCTGTGACGGCAGATATACGTGGTGTATGTGACAACAACAGGCTCAGCCGAATGCTATCCCTGGACATAATTGAATGTTATATGCCACCAGTATGATGGTTTTGCAGAATTTGGGGTGTCTCAAGTCTACACACAATATGGTTGACCTATCAATGAATTTTTTTGCCAAAACACAGACCAATAAATTCTACTAGTTCTGAAATGTCTGTGGTTCTATGAAATTTAAATTTCACTCCCCAGCTGAGAAATTTGAGGTGTTTGAGATGCAAGAGGGAAATGTAATCTGATCGATTAACCAAAATTAACACTGATTTTATAATTTATTTATTTATTTTCCTAGTTGGTACTCACACACACACTTGTCTCTTCTGAGACTTGAACCCCTGACCTCCCTTTGGAAAGTAAGAGGCTGATACCGCTAAGCCACTCGCCCGTTGGTTGATTTTATCGTAAGGAAAAAAAAGAAAAAAAAAATTTAACTTTTGCTGTTCATTGTAATTTTACCAGTTGCTTGTATACCGTTTCTACTTGCAAACTTTATTATAGCATGATTATACAATGTGTTTTAACCAAATATAATTACAGTGTTGTTAAAATGACAGAAACATCAACCCCAGCATGAGAAGTAGATATAAAGTAGAAGCTCAAATGACCTGCATCCCTTCAACACCACTAATTCCAACTCCAATATCAGCCTCCTGAAGCATTCCAACATCATTTGCCCCGTCACCAATTGCGAGTGTTGTCTTACCAGTTCCCGATTTTACCAATCTCGTAACCTGCGTATCTTCAATATTTCTATCAGATTATTTTGATGTCACAAAAAATATAAACTGACCATCTTTAAGAAATTAAAATAAAGATATTTCAATTTAAGCTACACTATGATGAGAACACTTACAAGAGCTTTCTGTTTAGGCGAGGAGCGGCAGCAAATAACAGAAGCACAATTAATTGCAAGCTCCAAAAATGAGTTCTCCAGATTCTTTTTGAGGGCAAAATTTAAGGACTTGCCATCAATTACCAAACCATATGTGACAGAACTTTCTTTAGCTGAATTAAGTTGGGTTTTTCCTTCACTTATTTGATTTGTTATGCTCCGACTTGAAGCCTAAAATAATAATTTCATTTTTAGAATAAAAATATAGAACTGATTGTTGTGAAATTAACCATAGGATCTTGTACCTTTTCAATGGCCTCCTTGTCTCCTTTTTTTTCCAAGGCATTTATATCTGGCAAATCCAATGTAATCACAATCTGCTTCATTTCTTGTCTTAGTAGGCTGCAAGCATACCTGTAGGAATTGCAAGAATTACAATGCAACTTCCAGGTCAAACAAGAATTAAAAAATAAATCAACCTCACAATTTTCACCATACCCAATATTAACTGCAGTTTCCATCTTATCACCAGTTAAGACCCATATCTTAATCCCTGCCTTTGCAAGCTTTTCAATGCATTCGGGAACCTTCGCACCAAAGAAATATTAAAATTGGATTAACTTAGAATACTTACATACCTTATTAACTACTTAGATGGGCTCAATTTTCATTGTTGTAAGCATCTTCTTAACATTTTAAAAGATGCAGTGCTGATTGCACAACACAAAACTGTTCACATATTTAAAAATTATGCATGCACTATAAGAGACGGGTTAGATATTGACCCCCTTTTGCAGTTTGTCCTCAACAGCCGTGGCACCAAGGAGAATTAATTCCCCCTCAATCTTGTCAGCAAGTGCATCCACCAATATATCTCGATCTGCATTGACAGAAGTTTTGGCCTGTGAAAACTCCTGTTCCCACAACACATACTCCTCTTCACAAAGCTCGCGATATGCAATTATCAAGGTGCGTAATCCTGCCTCAGCATATTGGTTGATATGATCCTTGGTCTCGGCCTCAAACACTCGTCCATCTCTAGAGAGCCTTTCAAACATTACACTAGATGTATGCAAACATAGAATTAAATCAATTTCAATTACTCATGCAACCAAATTTATAAAGTTGACCAAACAAGTATGTCTGTGGGAAGCAAACCTGTCCGCACCCTTGCAAAGGAGCAACAATTGATTCTCTTCATTCTTCACAATCACAGACATCCTTTTACGAGCACTACTGAACTCTAAGACATGAAGAAGCTTGTATGATCTGAAAATTTGAACTCAATCAAATGAAATGTCACTAAAATTTTTGAACAAAGTAAAATAAATTAGGAATATCAAAAAATAAATTAAAAAAAAAAGGAGATAGAATATGATGCCTTGTTGTTAAATGGTTGCAGCTTAAGATTCATATTTACTTGTAGCTACCTCAAGTTTGAATGCCAACAGAGATGTTTTGATTTTTAGAAAAAAGATTGACATGCGCTTAACAGATATGAATTTTACATAAGACTAAATGAATAGTTTTGATACAATAAAAAATGCGAGGACTTATCAGATGATGCTTGATGATGTAATTACCAGCTCATGCTCCTCCCTTCAATTAGTTTTGTTTTACCAAATTTTAAATACTTCCCTTTCCATAATCTATCGCATAGATCCAGGAAGAATGAAAGATCACATCAGCCCTGCAATTATGTGATTTTTCATCATATTTATCCCAATACAAAATATAAACTTTTTGCTATCTTCACACAAGCTTCATGAGTACTAAGTTTTTGCCTCCATCAGTCAAGTTTCCATTTAAAAGCACCGGGTTCCTAACAGTTATGAGCAAGACAACAACCTGCTACAAGTTATGACGAAGATTATCCTTTAACTGCATTATTTAAACTGTTTTGACTAAAGGAAAGAGAAAATACAAAAGAAAATTCAATTACCCATGCAGTGATTGGAGCATATATACATTTCCTTGCATTGACGCACTATCAGGACTAGTGAAACCCAATGCATAACAGCCCTAAAAGCAAATTGATGCAAATTTCACTGAGCAGTCAGCGGCACTTGGACATGAGCAAAGTGTTTTTTTACAAGTGTAACCATATGTATATAAATATATCACATGCTCTCTTATAACCATCAGATATAGCAGTAAGCTGCCACAATCAGTTATATCTAGAGATATAAACAAATCACTGAAAAGTAATTTTCATTAATAGAGAAACAGAGATTCCAAAGATATCTAACCTAACAACCTTTTTACCAGTCTCATGATCTAATTCGAGCAATGAGATGCTCGTTTGTTTCCTTTCAAAGAACTCAAAGCCAAGTTCCCTTGCGGCTATGACAAAGGCAGCTTCGTCTGGTGACTCAGCTTCATAATAAATTTCACCTGATTCCTTGTTGACCTCAGGAATGGCTGTATGGCAAATTGCTAATACTCGAAAGAACTTCTGTATGACATCCGCATGAGGTTCATGAATCCAATTACCGTTCATAATACGTTCATCTTTGAAGTTGAAACCCTTGATTGACTTTCCTGAGCCCACAATATCACCACTGTTTCCTGGTAAATCAGAGGAAGTATCACTAACTTCAACTGGCCCATCTCCTTTTCGCCTGGCCAAAGCCCTCTCCACTTCTGTCATACCACGTCCATAAGCAACGCCTGCTATTGAACATTTAACAAACTCCATGGAGTTGCACGTCAATGTACCTGTTTTGTCAGACAGTATAGTATCAACCTGACCAAGTTCCTCATTCAAATTAGATGTTCGTGCATGTGCTGGCGTATCTGTTTCTTCATAATACATATCCCGATCCTGGTTAATGAATATACTCTGCAAAACCTTTACAATTTCAATGGATACATATAATGAAATAGGTATTAAATACCCATACAACAGAAGGCCTGTCAAGAAATGAAGAAATGCTGCCAGCGCAGCTCTTTTAGGGTCATAAAACACAGTTGTATCGTCTGGTCGAAGATACCACCTTCTATATTTTCCCCCACGAACGTCTTTCTTAGTTTCAATTCCAAAAAAGAAAGATCCAATAAAAGATACCAAAACTAGAATACTGAAAAGGAGGTAGACTATCTTATCCATTTTCCTCTCAATCTTACTCCTCTTAGAAGGAGGATCTATAGCATTCTGCATTACTTTTGTGTCATGACCAGTAAAAACCACCACACCGTAGATATAATCTGTGTTCCGAAGTTTAGAATCTCTTAAAAGAAACTGTTGCAAGGAAAGTGGGTACTGTTGATCATCATAGTATAAAGTTCCAACAAAGGAATAAAGATCTTCATTTGGGTCCTCACACCTGATCACTGCTTTAAATTGCTGAAAGGAACTTTCATCACACAGAGAGGCCGTCGCCTCCAAAGCATGCTTCAACTTTAGATTAGTCTCTCCATCAAGGTTCATTGTCTCAACATAACAAATCCCATCGTCATAGCTTGATGAAAGCAGAACCAGATCAGCAGGGAAATACTCATCCTTGCACACCTTAACAAGATCGCCAACTCGTAATTGCTTCCATTTGGTTTCATAGAAAGTATTATTCCTACCATAAACCTTGACCTTTCGATTGTTGGCCTCTATATCCTGAAACAATTTCAAAGTATCAATTTGATATACAAATCCAATGAAATTTTACTCAATTCTACTCAAGATAATTAAAAAATAAATCAATAATTCTAAAAGACCATAGTTATTAAAGGCCCAAGGCGCTAGAGGTCCTTTGGAGCCTAGGCGCGAGGCGCACGGCGAGGCGCGCGCCTGAGTGAAGTGAGGCACGCAATTGAAAATTTAAACTACCATAATAACATTCATATCTCATAAGTCATATTAATATTCTAAAAATTAATATCAAATATAAAAAAGTAAATCCATCAACTATACAAGCATCCAACAACCATAAAACAAAGTACAAATTTGTTTTCTTGAACGGCAAAGCAAAATGTGTTTTTTGAATGGCAAAACAAAGCACAAAAAGAAATAAATATGTTAACAAAAGAAAAAAAATTGTTAACAAGAAAAAAAAAAAAAAAAAAAGAGAGCAAAAAAAAAAGAAAAAAGACAGAGAGATGAGAGAACTAGACAAAGAGAGAGATGTAAACAAAGATGAGAAGAGAGGAGAGATCTAGAGGAGAAGAGAGAATAAAAAGAAAAGAAAGAACTAACGTGGCTTCATCGTTCATCTCTGCAACTAGGGCTTCGTCTTCGTCTCACAATCTCATTCTATCGTTGTTCGGTTAACACTTTGACTCTTGGGCTTTCTTATTTTTTTATTCTTTTGAACAAAAGTTCCTTATATCGCATGATTGAGCTTTCTTTTTTGTTTATTAAGTTGCCAAAAGTACCATTTTTGGCTTAAGAAATAGAACAATCGTATTTTTTAAACAAATATCAATGAGGCACGCCTAGGCGCACCTCACAAACAGGACGAGGCGCAACCGAGGCGCGCGCCTAGTAAATATCAGTGAGCCTGGGATGATAACAGGCGCTAAATCTGAGCCTCGAGCCTAGGCGTGCCTTTAACAACACTGCAAGAGACAGCTTAAACTTGCACAAGCAACACCAGGCACAAATGAATGTTCTGGGTGCAATCATAAAAAATCATAATGCAGCGAGGCCTTAAAGAATATATCATGTATCTTAACTGCATAGTGCACTGAATCTCAAATTAGTTTGGTCTTCATACTTGTTTATTCTTTTATATAGTTGTTTGCAACTATATAAACAGACCCAATATTGACAGTTAGTTGGGCCCCCTTGAATACGAGGTGATGAAAAGGAAAAGTTAGGATGATCATTTGGTTCCAGATAACATATCCACATTTGTTTGACAAAGCTTGACAAGTTCATGAGTAATAGAACAAAGCCTTATCCCGATATTTCAAAATTTGTAGGTTTTGGGTCTTCAAAACCCCAAGTGTGCCACTTGTCCAACTAAAGAGCTTGAGAATCCATGCCACGATATGGCATCCAGTGTAAAGGATCCATGTAGGAGAGAAAACTCACTAACAATGAATTACGATTACAAAGAAAATCAAGCTCCACAGATCAGCTATTTCCACGACAACCACATCACATAATCACACAACTTATTCAAAGGGACTAAGTATACCCCACTAAATGTGATCGAGTCGGAAAACAATTCAAATCCCAGTTATAATTTTGGTCCAAGGACAACTCATGTAAAAGTTATTACAAATTATTATATGAAGTTACAAGGTGTGACACATCCTTGAGTACTCAAAACAAATGACATCTTTTAAGCCTATGCAATATCATAATTTCTCCTCGTCATTCTGAATACACATTATTGGAATAATTTACATAATTATTTCTTAGAGAGTATTCAAACATAACATGTTCATTTTCCTTGTGGAAAATTCACAATAAGAAACCAATTAAAGACAGCATAAATAGACAAATTGTAAAAGCTAGAAGCAAAGTCTTCAAACAACTGAAAAGATGTTAATTATTACCTGCTTTCGACGCCTCCAATCCTCCACGGCTTCCTTAGCCATAGTAGCTCCAATCACCACCACCAGAGGGGCAAGAACACTAATAGCCGAATACGGTGCCAATGGACTAAAGGAAACACAAGCTACAACAAGAAAATATATGTTTGCAACCCTCCTAAACTGCTCAAACAACGACTTTGGAATGAAATTAATAGCATTATACTTCGTCGTGGAAACATAATTACCCCTGTAGCTAGGTTGAGCTGTTTGCTGTTCAGGATCATTACAATACACAACCCTATTGTAACCTTTCTTCCCAATTTGTTTATGTTCATCTCTAAACGAAGACTTAAAACATGAGAAATTGTAGAGTTTGCTAAAATGCACCCTTCTCCTCCGACCACCCGTCATTTTCATAATCTAATATAAACAAATTGACCCCTTTTTTTTTTCTCCCGAGAAAATTAGGAACAAATTAGACACTCCCTCGAATTTGCAATTGCCATTTTCCTTCACTTTCCAAGCAACCAAACAAACAACTTAATGCAGTAATTGCCACTAAATTACTTTTGTACACGAACTTTCCTGATAAACAAACAACTATTAATCTACAATAATTTGCACTAAACAGAAAATTGATCTCTTTGGTTCACTCAGATTTCAGCATAATGTATCTGATATAAAACACAATATACAACAATTAGCTGATACATGACTTTGGACTGCTTCATAGATAGAGAGAGAGGGGTGAGAGAACAAAGCTCAGTTGTTGATCTGATGAATTAAGAACTCAAAATCAAATGAAATGGTTGCCTAGATTTCAAATTTGGAATCATTTAGACTATATTGAGCTTCCAACAAATATTCAAACCCTAGAAATTACAGTGTTTCCAGTATTCCTTACTTTCATCTGAAAGTTCCAGAGATCTCTTCCTTCCACCATCAGTTGACGAACAATGAGCTTTTTATATCTATATATATATACATATACATATAGAGAGAGAGTTTTTTAGAGAGAGAAAAGTAGATACTAGTAATATTTTTGCCGTTTTCATAAGCAAAGCGAGCTCAAAAGTAGCTGAGGCAGGTTATTATAGCCGTACAGTTCCATTAAGGAAGATTATGGAGTTTCTCTTCGCGGTGTTTCCTAGTGTGTCTTGTCATCGAGGTCTTTAGAATTTTAGAGGTCACATCTATGCCGTACACGTGGCTGATGATGTTCCGACAACTACCGAAGCAATTGATAGAACAGTGCCGCGATTGTAGCGTATGATTCGGCAGTGGAATTACCTTTTTCTTTTCGTGAAAAATGTTTTAGGTATAAGACCATGAATACGGCGCCGTTTGTGGGGTTGAACTGCTTTTACGACGACGTGTATAGTGGGTCAAAGTTGTTGGACTTGATTGACGATTTTGGGACGTCGACACGTGTAAAAAAAGTTTCGTGGGTTGTTGGACCACTTTGTGGAGAAACCGAAGAACACGACAAGGATGACTTGGGTCACGGCCGACAAAAACTTCCGCTACATGAGTAATTATACAACCCATACAGAAATTACCGAATTAGTATCAAATATGATGAAACTATTATTTTTAAAAATTATTTAAATAGATAAAATAGACAAAAATAACGTTGAATTCGATATTTATTCGGGATTAATTTATCGATCTCTTTATCATTATTTTTTTTATTATTACCATTATTATTTTGTCTATTCCTAAATCACATAAAGCCGAAGGAAATTCTAAAATAGAAGCGAGAGTGGGAAAGCAGTATAATTAAGTCATAAGTAGGGAGAATTTAAACGAGAGCACGCGCAAAACGTGAGAATGAGAATGCGCTCAGAACGTAAAAATGACACTTATTTAGAAGAATTATGTGACTTAAGTCTAATCTTTAATGTTTTTTGAATTTATTGATTATGCTAAAATTTGGTTTAGTTAGTCTATCATTATTCTCTAGTTGTATATCTTTGCATTAAATTTGTAATTTATTATTGAAGATGCAAGAAACTCCTTCTATTCTTTCTCTCTCTAGAATTCTTACACCTCCACCCGGAAAGATCCCTCTCCTCTTCATTCCAACTCCTATTTATAGACACTTACAAGATATTTACAAGATATTTACAAGATATTTACTAATTGCTGGACCTGGGCCTATTCCTCTGTAAGCCCTGGTCACCCTTGATGGGCTTACTCCCGCTCGGCCCATATGGCAGTGTCTTTCTATGGGCTGACCCAGCTGTTCGGACTGAAGGTTGTGTTTTGCGAGTCGGACCTGGCCCATGTCATCCGGGGCCTCCTCAACTGCCCCCATAATTGCCCCTTATTTAATAAGGGGTAATTATTGATGGCGTCTCATCATGACGCTGACGGCTCGAGATAACCACGTGGGGAGCGAACGGTCAGATCCAGAATCAATGTTCCGGGGCTCGAGGGATTTCTTGCCTTCCCGACGCTTCGGCCCTCGGGCCCCCTTGCCTTTATAATGCTCTAGAATTCCACTTCACTTCCCTTTACCGTCTCCATCATCAGTCAAATCTCCCTCTTTCTAGAACTGTGCTAAGCCTTTTCCGGTGAAATCCTTCGAGAGTCATTCTCCCAGCGATCTTGCAGTCCTCCGAGGTTAGTTTCGTTCTTTTTACTTTCGGCAGGCTTCCATTTTCCCTCTTTTAGATTCTTCTAGCACTTCCACCATGGTTGTAGATCTGGGTGTTCTTCGTATGAGACTTAGACTTCCTGACAACATCGAAGTTAGGGTTTGCCCCCAAGACGTTAATATTACGACCGGCGCCGGCCTCCTGCCCGGCGAAGTCTTATTCACGAACCTTCAACTGAATGTTGTTAGGTTCCCTCTGCACCCTTTCTTTAGTTATGTCTTCAATAGATTGGGGATATCCCCTCTGCAGGTCAACCCCAACTTCTTTAGGATCATATCTGTTATGCTCTTATTGATGCGTGACAGAAATCTGGACCTTGACCTCATAGACCTCCTTCTGTGCTATAAGGTCAGTAAGATCCGTACTAACGAGCCCTTCTACCACCTCTACCCGTTCGAGAAGATGTCCATATGCACTGACACAATAAAATCTGAAAAGGGTTGGAGGGATAGCATAGTGGGCATTAGTGGGGCTTGGTCTTCGCCGGCTGCAGAGGATTACCCAATCCCGAGCGCCTTTGGTGTCTGCTCTGTCTCCTCCTATAAAAAATTCAAATCCCATAAACATGACTGCCCCTGTGAAACATGCGTTCCTCGTTTTTGCACTTACTTATGCCGCTCCTTGGGAATACCTTGTGATGATTTGAGCTATAGTGTTTGCAGGGATAGGAGTAACTACTTGAAGAGATACGTTCTGAACGATATTCCTTCCTGCTCAGATCTCCTCACTTCAGACAACCTCTTTGCGCTCTCATCACTCGGCTACAATATGAGCAGACTGCAGATTCCCTCTTTTGGCAGGAGGAAAAATACTCCCCCAGCCACTCCTGCTGCTGGGGCGACCTCCTCTCCAGCGTCGGCTTCTTCTTCAGCCACCATATCTGACACTGTCCCGAGCGCAGTGGCCACTAACCCTGTTGCCAGCGCCCCTGCTGCCAACCAGAACGCGCCCTCCCCAGCTACCATAGCTCCTGCTGCTGCGGGGGGCGGTCGGGACAAAGAGCGAGGCAAAAGGCCTCATCCTGACAGTGAAATCGATCCTGAGGAGGAGCCTCTTATTAGAAGGACCCGAGTCTCTGGGCCGGGTACTCTCTTGCACCGAGCGATCAGAGCTCCTTCTCCCTCTGGGCCTCCTGCAGCTGGTGGCTCTGCTTCTGCTTCAGGCCCCCCTTCTATCCCCAGCTTACCGCCATGGGCCCCTCGGTACACCCGAACGGATGGGACGTTCGTGAAACCGAACGAGACCATGCTGAAGGATGGCCAGACCGCTATGGCCTACTACAGGAGCATGTGGACTCCGAAGGACATTGAGGCGGCAAAGGGCCTTTCCCAGAAGGACGTGTTCAGTCGCTTCCCCCAATCTGCTATGGAGGTGACTTTTATTTTCTAACTCATGAATTCTCTTATATTACTTGGTCTTGCCTTCGCCCGTTCTGACTATTGGTTTAACCGTTCTTATTGTGCGCCTATGCAGACATTGTTCGGGATGATGGCCATGCAGAAGCAGGTGGAGATGGGGAACGCCAGGGCCCGAAAGTATTCTGACAGCCTGGAGGTGGCTAATAAAGAAAACGACCTCCTTGCCATGAAGAATACCGAGGTGTTGGTTCGGCTTGACAAAGCCGAGCAAGAGAGAGATGTCCTGAAAAAGGAGAATGATTCCCTTCAGGATGAGAAGGACGCCCTCCAGCTTGAGAAGAGCGTCTGGCAGACTGAGCAGGAATCACTCAGAGAAGAGAAGGCAGAACTCCAACGCCTTCTAGCTGATGAACAGTCTGCTCGGATGGCTTTTGAAAAAAGAGCTCTGGACGAGCGTACCGCTCTGATCGACGCTATCAGCAGAGTGGGTGGTGGGATGCTGGCCCTTCACGCTCGGTTCTCCAGGGTCGGTGCTCTTCGGTATGCTCAAGGATTCCGGGAAGGTTTCGCCGACCGGGTTCCGGACGAGGGACAGACCAGCTCCACTCCGGATGAGGTAGACAAGGATCTGGGGATCGAACCTCTGGGGGTCTATGTCGACCCAGAACCTACCGAAGCGGAACGTATATTTGATGAGTGCCAGGACATCGCATCCTCAAGGATCATCACAGCTCCTCCTGCCGCTCTGCCACTGACCGCTCCCCAATCGTCAACCGTGGCTCCCTCTGTAGCCACTGCTGACGCTGAACCCCAGCCGAACGACTCAGTTATTCACCTGGATTCCCCACCTCATGAAGGTGAGGCGGCTGATGGGGCCAAGGAGGCGAGTCGGCAAGACCAAGATGCTGTTGGTACTGAGGCGTCTAGCTAGGGCTCCTTCGAATTCTTCTAGTTCATATCTTCTTGTAATGATGGACATCTCTCTTTTGTAAACTAAATGTTCAATATTAATGAAATGGCCGAACTCTTTTTCTCTATGTGTTGTGCTCTGTTCAACTTATCTTCAGTATATACATATCTTTTCTCTCTTTTTCTTTTTATATTAGCTTCGCTGTGTGTTTGTACGGCAAGTGCCTGGCGCTCGGCTAGAATGCCACTTGCCACTTGGCTTTAAATTTTTAGCAAGTGTCTGGCGTTCGGCTTATAGTGCCAGCTGCCACTTATCTTGCTTAAGTGCCTGGCGCTCGGCTAGAATGCCACTTGCCACTTGGCTTTAAATTTTTAGCAAGTGTCTGGCGTTCGGCTTATAGTGCCAGCTGCCACTTATCTTGCTTAAGTGCCTGGCGCTCGGCTAGAATGCCACTTGCCACTTGGCTTTAAATTTTTAGCAAGTGTCTGGCGTTCGGCTTATTGTGCCAGCTGCCACTTGTCTTGCTCAAGTGCCTGGCGCTCGGCTAGAATGCCACTTGCCACTTGGCTTTAAATTTTTAGCAAGTGTCTGGCGTTCGGCTTATAGTGCCAGCTGCCACTTATCTTGCTTAAGTGCCTGGCGCTCGGCTAGAATGCCACTTGCCACTTGGCTTTAAATTTTTAGCAAGTGTCTGGCGTTCGGCTTATTGTGCCAGCTGCCACTTGTCTTGCTCAAGTGCCTGGCGCTCGGCTAGAATGCCACTTGCCACTTGGCTTTAAATTTTTAGCAAGTGTCTGGCGTTCGGCTTATAGTGCCAGCTGCCACTTATCTTGCTTAAGTGCCTGGCGCTCGGCTAGAATGCCACTTGCCACTTGGCTTTAAATTTTTAGCAAGTGTCTGGCGTTCGGCTTATAGTGCCAGCTGCCACTTATCTTGCTTAAGTGCCTGGCGCTCGGCTAGAATGCCACTTGCCACTTGGCTTTAAATTTTTAGCAAGTGTCTGGCGTTCGGCTTATTGTGCCAGCTGCCACTTGTCTTGCTCAAGTGCCTGGCGCTCGGCTAGAATGCCACTTGCCACTTGGCTTTAAATTTTTAGCAAGTGTCTGGCGTTCGGCTTATAGTGCCAGCTGCCACTTATCTTGCTTAAGTGCCTGGCGCTCGGCTAGAATGCCACTTGCCACTTGGCTTTGAATTTTTATAGTAGACCATTGGAAAAGAAAATTCTTTTTTTT